TATGAACATGGCTAATGAAGGCATTCAAGATTTATTAGCGGAAGAAATTGACGAAGATTTGATAGATATGGCATCCGAAGCTGTAAATCAAATCGATTCTGAGGACACTACCACTGAAGAAGATTGTGAAGTTAATAATTTAAAATTAAAAGAAAGCCTACGCCTAGCTGTTAAATGAAGGAAGAAATTCTAAAAGTCAAAGCGATCTCATTCCACCGAAAAAACTTTCTCTGTTGATTATACTGAGCAATGACAACTAAGAAATTTATTAAACTAAATCACTTATTGAAAATTGTTTAAAATTGCATACATGGGAGCTTCATCCTACGAATATTAATACTTGCAAGGTTAATATATGTTTCTCGAAAAAAAATCCTCTTGAAAAAAAATTTCGAAAAAATGCATTATTAGGTTATATACATTACTTATCATCCATATACCTTGCTTGCGAACTCAGAGAATATTAAACTCAACAAAAGATCCTACAGTAAAACTGTAGCCAGCAGTGACAATTGAACGCACTATTGACACACATCTCACTGGTTCTCTTCACATTGAACTCACGACCCCTGGTTTACAAGACCAGTACTTTAACCGCTGAGCTATGGTGGCTTATAAGTAAAAAGGATTATATTCAACTTTCGGAAATATTATTTGCTAATTTTTACAATGTGTTATGAATCAATCATACACATCATTTATATGTGTTGAAATATAATGTAATTCACTTTTTATGTTCAGTAGCATATGGTTTGCTAAAGGTTAATTGCGTATGATTCGTTAAAGATTAATTAAAATATTTCTGAAAAATTGTGAGATATATAAAATGTCAGTTATGCTAAATTTTTATTTCTTAATTTTCAATATTTTATAATTCCCATTTCTTTAAAATTGAAGGTGCTATTAGGAATATGTTTAAAAAATATAAATGTATTTAGTGCGTGTGATTTAAGAAAGCGTGAAACTTAAGGAAATTTGAACAAGAAATGGGAAAATTAGTGACCACCGAGCGATTTCTTAAATTTTAATGGCTTTGGTTATAAAATTTAGGCCATGAAATATGTACCATTCGAAAGAACTTAATTAAAAAGGAAGCGGGGGGCAAAACACGATTTAAACTGTTACTGTCATTCTTGATATGTTTCAAATTTTGATAGAGGGATTGAGAACGCTCCTAGTTCATGCCACAGGAATATAAAGATTTAAAAATATTCTCAAAGCTTAAAAAAAAAAAAAAAAAAATTGAATTTACCTGAATAAGTTTGCTAAAATGAAATTTTAGCGCCAGTTGTTTTGCCAAAAGTTTGATGTTTTACTGATGTCCTTAAATTTAATTAGTCAAATGTATCTAAATTCTCCGACCAACTCATATCTGTGATCTACGAGGGACCTCAAGGGTCATGCTGGCGACCGTTATTGAACGGCATTTGGTTAATCAGCTGGGTATAAAGCAATCAGAGCAAACAATTTTTTTTTTTAACTTGATTACTGTGAAAGTAAGCAAGTTACGCAAACAACGAATTTAAACTGTTACTTGTATTCTTGATAGTGTTCAAATTTTTGATAGAATTGAGAACGCTCTAGTTAATGCCAAAGGAATATAAAGATTTAAAAATAATTCTCAAAGCTTAAAAAAAAAAAAAAAAATTGAATTTAACTGAATAAAGTTTGCTAAAAAGTGAATTTTAGCGCCAGTTTTTGCCAAAAGTTTGATGTTACTGATGTCCTTAAATTTAATTTAGTCAAATGTATCTAAATTCTCCGAACCACTCATATCTGTGATCTACGAGTGGATCTCAAGGTCATGCTGCGACCGTTAATATGAACAGTCATTGGTGATCAGCTGGGTATAGCATCAGAGCACATTTTTTTTTTAACTGATTACTGTGACGCACACAATGATATCCGCCATACCAGGAAAGCCTCGCGTTGAACTTTTTAAGTAAAACTAGCTTGTAATGCTCGTTATACTCACGTGACAGTAGATGTGCACATGTCACCTCCAGGAAACACTGGATTTGTCGCGCCTTGTAGACGTAGTTAGCCAACTCTCGCAGCCAAGAATACGCAAAGACAAAAATGCCTCCTTTTTTATTCTTTTAATTGTCATCCTGAAAGATGATTCACAAATACAGAACTTTTAAGTATGTGGTCCTTTATGGCATTCCTGAGGATCTGGTAAAAGCGGGATAAATTCTGGTTGAACGTCAAAATAAACAACAAAGCATCAAAGCATCCTCCACCTTACAGATGGGGTAAACCATGGGAATCCAGCTTGTTCGGCGAGATTCGAACCCCAAACCGCAATACCAGTCCTAACTGCCCTATCTCCTTACTGACTGTTTATAATATCTCAACATTAATCTCATCATGCTAACTTAGGTAAGCGTAGCAATGCGGATATTTTTTCTCTAATCAGATAAAAGAAGCGTTTGACTGTATTTATCTGACACTTGCTAAATGGGCAGTACTTTCCCGCTTTGTTAATATGTGTCATTTCACTTCTCTGCGTCGTCCATTGTCCAAAAATGTCATAATCTACATAAAATTGTGAGGTACATATCACATTCAATTGTGCATATGTATCTCTGGAAGGTCCAGCAATAAACTATTTTTTGTCTACGCCCCATCTGCAAGCTTTTCTTCTCCGTTATGTATCTATGACGCCACCAACATCTTGCCAAGTTAATTCAAGGGGTAATCTTTCTATCTATGCCCATTAAAGAATCACAAATTTATTTACGTAATTTATTATATATATGAATACAATTTCAATGGTATTTTTTCAGCGTAGTAAGAAAAAACTGATTGCATCTCCTATTATCCAAACTGCCTTTTTTCCTTTTAAGAGAGAGTTAACTTTAAATGAATATAGAAAGCATATATATAGCCTTAAAATAAAAACACTAATAATTTGTTCGGTCATATATACGTCATGACATTTATCTAATATGAATCAACAATATTTCATCATGCATTTTGTCCATGAATCAAACTGAAAACACATATAAATATTAGAAGAGAAGTATTACGTACTATATGTCTATTTTGGTTTGTTTATTCCTTGAATTAGGGCTTAACCATAACAAGTGCTTCTTATCTGTAAACAGACAAAGAAATCGCGATGACGATTTATCTCGTTTCTTCCAGGAAAAAATTTTACTTTCTTGTAGAAATAGAATGCCTTTTTCTCGAAAATCTCGGACACGCAATTCAACATCCATAAAAACTAATACAGTAGTCCTCAAATATTTTTTGCCCCATTCAAACCTTTAACCTTAGAAAGAGGATCATTTCCCCTTCCTTTCCAAATCTCGAAAAATACATATATATATTTATTTAAATTTAAATTAGTTTTTAATGTGTGTAAAATTCTAGCTAAATAAAGTTATTTGGAGGCTTGATCTTTATTTGAACTGTGAGGCTAAGTTCAACTTGCGTCAGTAACTACACATAAGAAGGGGAAAAAGACTTATTCGACTCAAGAACAATATCAACAAGCCGCCCAGACGGCATAGTGGTTATGAGAGCCTACTGCGGTACCGAAGGGCCCGGGTTCAGATCCCGGAGAAGGCATGGTTGTTTGCAAACGTATAGTGTCTTTTGGATATGGGGGCATTCTAACTATATGGCGAGCCGAAAATCCTCAACCCTTGTGATTGGGAAGCTGGGTGGACCGGAGTCCTCCGTCAAAATTGCGGGCAGAAATGAGCAAAGTCGCACTGTCACCTGTATGGTGTTCAAGGCTCTTGCCATGGCTCAGGGCTCAGGGCAAGGCTCTTGCCATGAGCCAATGACAGGCACAATCTTGCTCTCCTTGCTGCGATGAATTTTGTGAGTTCGTTCCGATGTTACTATCAGACAAGTGAGATAAGTCACAACAATTGTAGTATGATTCCTAGTGAGTACAAGTCCTTGCCGTTAATTTTGGCGGCAGCTAAAAACAGAAGACATAAAATTAAAATTAATCCTGAGTTGAATAAATCAGACGAAGCTGTACAGAGATAATTTAACACGTAGTTGTTTTTTGGCTAATGCCGACGTAGACTAACCTTCAATTAATATACGCACTCTTAAAATAGCAAGCTTAAGTAGTAGAAAAACAACATGGCCGAAAAGCAGAACATTTTTTCAACAAGCTCATTCAGGAATAACTCAGACACCAGCTTAAATAGTAACTTTCTACCTATTTTGCATAATACGCGAAACTAAAATCTAATTCTGGCAATAAATCGTGAGTTGAAAAATAAGAGGTATAGAAGAGATTGCTTTCAAAATAAAATTAACTCTTAACAAAATTCAATGAAACCAAGTGTATAACAAGTACTACATTTTTGTCAGTGGAAGAATAAATTTATAGCCTCGAATTTAGAAAACGATTCATGAAGTTCATAGTAGGTAAAAGACAGATGGATACAATTTGAAAACGCAGCACCTTTGCTATGTAATCTAAAAAAATTTTCAGCTTAAGTGACATACGGTGGAGGCTTAGTGTGAACTTGGATGAAGTAAACCTCTTCAAATCTTGGCAACAGTGAAAGGGAAGACTGAGATCAAATGTAACGTGACAATTGTCCCCTTAAACGAAGGTATGTTGTTTTGCATTATTCAGGCTTTTGAAAAGCTGCGAATTCCTTCTACTTGTGTCTCATAAATTTGCCAGTATCAGATGTCTAATGTACTGACACACTGCTGTAAGTATTCAGGGCCAAAATAAGAAAATGCATGATTTTTCTGCAAATATTATGGTTACTATCTCTCAGCAACAGATTAATTATATTTTGATTTTTACCTTCACACTTCATAATTCCATACACATTTATTCCTGAAAGATTGTCTATGTATTTTTTCTTGTTCTTAAACTTTAAAGATACTTTTGATATTATGTAATTTAAATTTTCTATATCTTCTTATTTTTTAATTAATTGCTTCATAACTTTGGTCTCATTGCTGAAACAATTTTTATCTCAGGATACTTTTCTACAACACTTCAGCGACGTATTTCAAGTGTGCCTTAGATATACTCATCGGATCAAATGATTATTCGTTGCATCTGTTCATTCTCAAGAAGATTTCATCAGATGGCTGGAAAACAAAGTATATGTAAATAGGCTCGTTATGCTATCATTTCCCCCTTTGATCCAGGAATCCGGTAAGTAATTTTCATATGTTCTTAATTTTCAAACGCTTTTGAGTACCATTTTCTAAATGCTTTAAATAATATACAGAAAATTTGTGACGCTGGGTTATAAAGCAAAATTATTTCATATATATTGAAAAACAACTAGAAATAATGATATACTAAACGAAATAGGGAAAAAACGTGGATAAAACCTTATGTTTTAATAACCGACACTCAATTAATTGTCAAAAAATAGTCTCTGGATTTTGAAATGCTAATAATTACAAAATGAAGGTGATATTAGAAATATATATGAAAAAAATTAATGTACTTAATGGTGTAATTAAAGAAAACTTTAGTTTAATTTAAGAAAATTTGAAAATTAATGGAAAAATTATTGACCACCGAGCGATTTCTTAAATTTTATGGCTTTGGTTATAATATTCAGGCATGAAGTACGTACCATTCGGAAGACGTATAAATGTAGTCAAAGGTTAAGCAAATTTTGAATAAGGAATTTTAACTGTTTCCTGTATTCTTGATATTGTTCAAACTTTTTGATAGATTTGATAATGTTTAAGTTAATGCCAAAGGAATTTAAAGATTGTAATTACGTTCTTCAAGTTAAATAATTCCTCAAAGCCTAAAAAATTGAATTTAGCTGAATGAAGTTTGCTAAAAATTGAATTTTAGCGCCAGTTTTCGCCAAAAGCCTTGATGGTCACTGATTTAATTTAATTTAATCATTTTAAAAATGTATCTAAATTCTCCGCACCACTGGATATTTGTGATCCACGAGTGGACCTGAAGGTCACGCTGTGACCATTCACAGCGAATGAAATATTAATATGAACAGTAATTGGTGTTCAGTTGGGATATGAACAGTCATTGGTGATCAGTTGGGGATAACATGAAAGCACCCTTTTTTTATTTATTACGATGACTCACACAATGATATCCGCCAAACGAGGAATGCCTCGCGTTGAACGTTTTAAGGAAAACTATCCTGCAATGCTCGTCATACGCACATGACAGTACATGTGCACTTACGACCGTCAGGAAACACCGGATTTGTCGCGCCTTATAGTAGTCAGCCCATTCAGAACTCTCGCAGCTAACAATAACGCAGAGACAAAGTGCCTCCTTTTCTTATTTCTTTTAATTCTCATCCTGAAAGATGATCGCTCTTAGCACCCTCCCAAACCAACAATTCGGTTTTCGGAAGAGGTTATCCACTACTATGCAGCTAGTTAGGATTGTGGAATTTGTGAGCGCTGCTATATATAAGCACGAAACAACTGCTTTTCTTATGCTAGACGTGGCAAAAGCGTTTGACCGCGTCTTGCATAAAAGCCTCACTTGCAAGCTTGCTTGCCTGGATCTCTCTAGGGAAATGGTTAAAATCCTGCATTCATTTCTTAATAACCGTTCTTTTTGTATAAGACAGGAAGATCACCTCTCGGAAAACACCTTAATTAAAAGTGTCGTCTCACAGGATAGCATTGTCAGACCAATTCTCTATTTAACATATATAAAAGATTTTGCCATGCTTGACAACGCAAACTGTATCACTGCCTGTTACTCAGATGACACTGCAATTCTCTCCAACTCTCTTAATCCTACACATGCCATCACAAGGATCCAGAAATTTACACCGAGGAATGGTGTCAGAAATGGAAGACTTCAATAAACGCATCAACATCGCAATTTCTTCTCATAGGGCGTCGTAGAAGAAAAGATGTCGACATTGATATTACCCTGTTTAATGAAAAAATCCCGAATGTAAATCAGGCTACTTATTTAGGAGTCCGTTTCAACGACTTGTTCACATGGAATAAACATACATCCGTTGCTCTTGGAAAGGCCATCGGAGTTTCCAGGAAATTAATTCACTTAATAACGCCTCGTACCCACTTGATTTAACATGCAAAAAAACGTATTTACATTTCCATTCTAAGACCGAAGCAGGTCGTTTCGACGCCGACGGTTCGACGCCAATGGTTCGACGCCAACGGTTCGACGCCGTACGTTTCGACGTAGGAGCAGTTCGACGCCATATTTTTTCGTATTTTTATTTATTTTTAGAATAAATATGAAGTAATATAAATAAGTAATATGACTGATTTTTATTTATTGAATTAGCGATTGTTTGCATGCATATTTGAAATAAATATATGTATGTATATGTGTGAAAGTGTTCTAGATTTTTGTTTGTGTCCCAGGTTAGTAAGAAGCCCTCTCGCCAACGTCAAGGCCCCGGGACATGAGGGAGGTTTTTTTTTATTTATTTATTTCACAAAACAGCATCAAAAAGGCAAAATACACAAATGGTAAATAAACATATGGTTACAAAGTAGTTATATTATATTGCAGACAAATATAATTACAGATAAATAAGATTACAGATAAATAAGATTACAGATAACTAAGATTACATATAAATAAGATTAGAGATAAATAAGATTACATCAAAGAACTGTTATTATACTAATCCATTGCAAAATTATGCGCCACACCTTTCAGTGTGTAACAGCCAGTTTCCTATAGGAAATACAGTTGGAATACAGTATAGGAAATACAGGTATTCCATTATTTCTCGCTTTTCAAAATCTTCAACTATTACTTTAATTCTCATATCAGCTCTCAGATACCTATTCCGCTTGTGCGGCGGTTCATCTCCACGTACAAATTGTTCATAACATTGATAAATTGATTTTTGAACACGCCTGAGACCATCTATGAATTCCCATAATTTGGGGTGTGAAACACCAAATGATGATGACACCAAATTTATTTGAATGATGATGCAAACTTATTCTAAAAATAAATCAAAATACGAAAAGTATGGCGTCAAACAAAAGCAAAAAAAGTATGGCGTCGAACTGACCCCGCGTCGAAACGACGTGTCAAGTTGACCACGCGTCGAAACGCTGGCGTCGAACCGTTGACGTCGAAACGTTGGCGTCAAACTGACCTGTACCGTTCTAAGACAGATCCTCACATACGCCTTCCCTGCCTGGAGCACAGCCTCCAACACTGACATAAACAAACTCCAGGCCTTCTAGAACAATTATCTGCGTAAGATCGCCAAAGCGCCTTGGCTCGTTCGCAATGAACAACTTCACATGGATCTCAAAATTCAAAATCTGGCCACCTTCATCAACAAACTAATTCAAACTTAATAGTAACTTCTACAAAAAAGCAGTATCCAATGAAGACGTCAACTACTCGGATAATTTTAAGTATGAATTTCTAGAAGTAGACATAAATTGAAGACTTCACTCCACTCATTATTTAAAAAACTGGCATCATATTCAAAACATCTTTTACTAACTTTCCCTCCAAACTCAAGCAGCACTTCATTCCTGGGTCAGCACTTGGGTGGGCACTTTGTAATTTAAACCTAAACAGTTATTCACTTTACAACTACTGTTTTCATAATCAACAAACTAGTTGTTATTCTATTATGCTATAATTCATTATAGGTTTTATTTAACTTGAGTTCTTGTTCTTGGGTAAAATCTTGAAATTAATTTATGACCTTCTTTTGCTGAACAGAGTTTCTTGAAAAGTTTCATATATATACTATATATATGCGAATTTACGATGACAATATTGTAGTTTACAAGAATTTTTTGTTTAGAATTTGATACATATTATTATTTATGATTTTATTTATTATTATTGTATTATTATTTAATGATCACATTATGTATTGCAAAATATGGATTTTTAGCCGCTCTCTTAGTTCAAAATAGGCCCATCAACGGCCGTCCCTGAACACTGGTAGTTTGTTCCGAGGTTTGAATACCGCAAACGGGCTGGCTGCATGGACATGCTTGGGGCTTTTCCATGTTTAACATGTATACGAGCCAGTTTCCCTTAGAAAGTCCTCCACGAAGGTATTGTTGCCCTTTAGCAGATTGCCCTCGAATGCTTTGCCTTAATCAAATAAACCAAATCTTAGTTCAAAACATTATCCTTCAGATAAATATTTCTTGAAATTTTTAGCGTAATTTACCAAATTTTGTAGGATTTTTAAAACTTGTTATATTTTCTCTGCAGTGAAGTTGCTAGCAAGGATGAATATTTAAATTAAAAAATATAACTGTTCTATATTTACAGCCCTATAGTTTTAAGTGATGATAAGATTGGATTTCTAAATCAAACAGAAATTTAACTAACGGAAGGGGAACCGAACTGAAATAAACAATACTCTGTAATTTGTGAAATATCATGTTTTCTGCCATTCAGTTAACCTGCCTGAGATTTTCCTCAAAGCGTGTAACGTAGCAGGCAAGAGGAAAAATTAGCAACGCCTTTGCTGGGAATCGAACCGCAGACCTCTGAAATACGCGCCCAGTGTGCAGACCACCACACCATGAAGGCATGCCAAGAAGGCGGGAGAAATACCTTAATACGCACTCTTTTAAAGGGCGAGTGGGTTTTTTTAGGGCACCCAGTCGCCAAATCCTGGCTGTGGAGAATCATCCACGGCCCCTTTTAGTTCGGGCGCCACTGTAGAGGCATTAGGTTAATTGGAAGCAAGAGAGATGAAAAGTGAGCAACTTGTTTGCCAGGAATCGAACCACGAACCTCTCGAATACGCGCCCAGCGTGCAGACCACCACACCACTAAGGCATGTCAAGAAGGCGGAAGAAATACCTTATAACTAATAAGTGTAGAAACATTAGTAAACATTTTTAACAAAAACCGTAATTAGAGTAGAATTATTTGTAAGCCTTCCAGTCAGAGTTTATATGTATACCTGTAATAATAGTAAAATCATATAAATGCTTTGTACGAGTAATAAGCATTGGGTTAAGAGTACAACCATTTGCAAGCATTCGAATATACAGTATAAAAGAGGAAAATAATTTGGAGATATTTTGTTAGCATTTTATTCAGAACAGATGTAATGCAAGCGTTCTAGCTATCATTTGAATAAAAACAAATAAATTTGTGTCTTGCAAGCAATTTTGTTTGTTTTAATGTGCAATAAAATTTGATAAAAAATTGAATTTTTTATACACAACAGAAGCTGTCACTAATATGTCGAAACTTTCCCACCCATTTCATGTATTTCTCGTTTATCTTTTGAATAAAAATTGCTATCATTTGTACGTCGATAAAATTGCTTTTTGAGATAAATAAATCCGAACATTTGCTCGTCACAGACTTAAACCATTTGTTTAATTTGCTTTAAACTAGTTATCTATAAACTGCTCTCTCAAGAATATTCAGAAATTTATTTTTGGGTCACGCTTTCAGGTACAAATTGCTAATGAATGTAATTGCTAATGATTGTAATTGCTAATGAATTAAGCACTTTTAACAATTTGCATTTGAAATCATAAATATTGTTGTTTCTAGTTCTGCTTTATTTTCATCTTTTCGTATTTTCAGATTTTTCATTCTTTGTCGGTTACAATGAAGACAGTTCTGTGTTTAGCAGTGATTTCTGTTATGGTTGTGTAGTAAGTACACGTTTGATGTATTTAACATGCATTAAGTTCATTACTTCTACTTAAATCTTGTATAAACGCGCTTGCAGGACAGTTTTGAATTTTGAGAAACAGGTACAGTTCTCTCTTATTGAAGCCTTGTACACAAATTAATGCTTACAGAGCTGAATTTTTTCCTTTATTAAAATTCTTTAAATAGATAACAATTGATTCTTAACTAGCTTTAGCTGTTTAATGCGCGGTATTTCTTGGCTTGTTAAAAGAATGTAAAAAATAATTTATTTTAAATTTTTAAATGCTAAATTTTATTTCTAATAGATATTATAGTGTCACTGTTCCGCCTTTGGCAGATCGATGGAGCTCTCACCGCGTGCCGAAAAAAAAATTAACGAGATATTTTAATTTAGTAGAACTTATTTGATGCTTGAAATTTATAGAATACGCATGTTATGTTGCGCGTAAATTTGTACTTTGTTAAATGACACCATCTTTTAATTCAATTACACTGCTGACCATTAAAATTACAACACCATGAAGGATAGGAAATGCAAAAAAGATATTTATTGCACGTAAACAGTATGGCATGAAGATCAAATGATAAAATTTGTAAGCATTTTAGAAGTTTACAGGAGTAAGAAGTTAGTAGAAACAGCTGCCAACCCTGGCAGCTTTAAAACGACCCTTGCCCGGTTAGGCATGGAGTATAAATGGGCTCGGATGATTGAAACGAACAACTCATTCCATCCTGCCTCAAGTATATGCCACACTTAATCAACCGTATTAGCTGGAGAGGGTTGGTGGTCCAGTTTCTCAGCAACCTGTTACCAGATGTTTTCAATGGGTGACAGATCTGCAGACCGTGCAGGCCAGGCTAGCAATCGAATACCCTGTCCATTAAGGAAGGTCAGAACACGACGTGCAACATGTGCTCTAGCATTATCTTATTGGAAGATGGGTCTGCAGACCTCGAAGATAGTGTGCAACCACTGGACGCAATATGTCAGAAATCTACCGATTTGCATGTAGACTACTGTCGATTCGAACTAGAGATGTGCATGTCGTGTACCCAATGGCTGCCCAAACCATCACGCCAGGTGCATGGACCCTGTGTGATATCTAATGAAGAAGGCAACGTGCAGTTTCCTCTGACACTGCAGACACGTATACGGCCATTAGAATGCTGCACGTAGAACCGGGACTCGTTTGAGAAGGCGACATTTTGCCACTCCTGTACCCAGCTTTGTCGTTTGGGGCACCAGAGTAGTCCTCTTTCTTTATGCTGCATTGTCATGGGAAGCAGAAGTAATGGTCACCCTGCTGATAGTCAACGCTGCTGCAAACGTTGACGCCCCTTACGGGCTGGCAGCAAACATGTCCATTCCCTGACTAATGGTCCGTGATGTGGTCGTAAGGTTTTGCAGGGCTGACCTCATAACATGTCTGACGTTAGTCATGGGAGGGTGTTGAGATCCTGAAAGCCGTTCAGTATGACCCTCAGAAATCCATTGATTCCATATTCGCCTGAGGGTGATTGAATGTCGACCAGTGCGACTGGCGATATCACGGAACGATAATCTTCACTTTCGATAGGCAACGATCCTGCCTCCGAATTTCGAAACCTGCTGGTAAGCATTTCCTCTTCTTATTCTAAACTAGCACGATATTCTGAGCAAACTCCAACCTTATATAAAGCACATTCCGAATGAGAAATCCACTACACAACTTTTCTTTTAAGCAGCGCTTCAGATGTCGTTTCTCCCACCTGCGTTGTGGTTGCTCCCTGAAATACTAATCATTTACATATCCCAACCTTTTCTTCCTTTCATGTGATTTTGATGGTGTCGCAATTTTAATGGCCAGCAGTGTATTTTATTCAAGCTTTCAGACCGTCAGCTCTGTCATAGCTGACTTTTTCTTCGAACATAATAAAGATGCTGCTGCAATACGTGCAAGAGAAACTTACGTTGCAGCGTCACGTACGAAAAAAAAAAAAAAAAAATCTGAAATGTTTCAGATTTTAAATTACGTCCAAAGGGGCGTTTTTTAACATTTTGTGTGTTACCTTTCTTTATTAAACCGCTATCATGTTCCTACGCACTTAAACCATAAGAATTCTAGTTGCAACAGCAATATCGCCAAAATAGTTTAAAACGAGCATATCTTTAGAATTTCCGATACAGAGACTCACGCGCTGGAGATAAAAATGTTTTTTCCCAGCACAAACGTTGCCATTGCTCGCTTTGAAATCCTTGAGTTTGTTAATCAAAAATTCGTCAAAGTTTTAAAAAGTAGGAAATCGGTCATAAAAACAAATTTCCAAATTTCAAATTCCAGGTCTTCCGTATGCTCGATATTCGTTGGAGGAGGACTACGTTATTCAAAATTCGATGACTCTGTCCGTCCGGTACCGTTGTTTTATTCACAATACGCGAGAAATATACATACATTTATGCAGATTTTTCATTATTTAATTTCTTCAAATATAATGCAGGACTCTAACATTTTGTGGCAACAGTTTGAAAAGTGAACCGACATTTATGAGTCCGACGCAAAATGCCAAAACGAAACTAATAGTCCTTCGGGATTCAAATCCCTTTGGACTAAAAAAAAAAAAAAAAAAAAAAAAAAAAAAAAAAAAAAAAAAAAAAAAAGGAAAAGAAAAAAAAAAAAAAAGAAAAGAAAAAAATAAAAAAGCAGGCATAGACGCAACATCACTCCCTTTCGATTGAATGATGAATAAGCGAAACTCTTTTTAACATCAGTATAAATTAATACAAAATACAACCCTTTTTTTTGATGTACCAAAAGAATATATCAAGTTATACATGAATAATATTAACGATTAAAACTCAAATAAACTAGAGTTCCCATTCAGTTCTGTCGAAATCTCGCAGATAATTTAACAGTCCTAGCAATACTAGTGGTTACTACATCTCTCGTAGCCGTCGGAATATCTGGAACCAACGGATTTTTTGATTTCGGAGAATCGACAGTCAATAAATTTGAATTTAGGTCAGAAAAAGTAGAAACCAGTTTACCGTTCGGCATTTCTGGATCTGAGGTAATAGCAGTGTTATTATCAGGAGAAAGTGAACTACATTCTGTCTGCAAAGAATATACGTATTTTCCGAAGTGGTTGAATTATATTTCCCATTAAAGTTTTCAGTCGTGCAACTCGGATGCTGTCATCTTTCCCTCGATAAAGCTCTAGTACCTTTGCCAGCGACCAGAAGGTTCGCCTTTTAAAGTCACTGTCAAAGAACTATATCGCAAATGTGGACTTGGATATATTTTCTACCGACGCATACTAGCGGGCACGGACGCGTAACAGTAAGAGTAGATTTAGTAGCAACAACGTAGCCGAAGGCAGAACATGCTTTCTTACTGAAGTGACACAGACTTCGGCTTAAATACTTTCTACCTCATTTGCATAAATCGCAATCCTGAAAACTGTCATTCTGCCAGGCAAACGTAGCTGGAAATTTAGAATGTATAGGAAAGGTTTCTTCCAAAATAAAAATAATTATCAGAAAAGTAAAGTATACTATACAAACTGTATGAAAGATATTTTTCTTCTTTTAGCTCAGTAATAATTTTATAAGTTAGAAAGAAACGTTAGCTCGGGCTATTAGTCTCAAAACGGCATTTCGCGTTGAATCATTTAAATGCCGTATATATCAGTTTTTATATTGTTGCCACCAAATATTATCGCCCCGTAATGCATTAAAAGAAACTAAATAATGAAGAATCTGCAGGATTGAATGTATGTTTCTCGCACTGTAAAAAATAACAGTACCTAGAAGCATCAAATTTTAAATAACACAATTTTCCATCCAACATGGTCACCTGGAAACTCGAATTTGAAATTCATTTTATTGGCCCTTTCATATTTTGTAAAACCTTAACGAATTTTTGATTAAAAACTTTAAAAAAAATCTGAATATTTTCAGATTTTCTAACTACGCCCAAAGGGGCTTTTTTTTAACGTTCCGTGTGTTACCTTTACGTATTAAATATCATGTTCTTCGCACTTAAACTATTAAATTCACTTCAACAGCGATATTGCAGAATAATTAAAAAAGAGCGTATCATTAGAATTTCTGATGCAAAGTCTCGCGCGCTGGAGATGGTGAAGGATGACGTTATTTGAAATTTGATGGCTCTGGGTACCGTTGTTTTGCCACAATGCGAGAAACATCCATCCATTAAGAAAATTCTTAATTATTTAATTACTTTAAATCTAATAGAGGGTAGTAATATTTGGTGACAACAATTTGAAAAGTTATACACCATTTATAGTGATTCGATGCAAAATGCGAAAAGGAATAGCCCTTCTGGGCTAACAATTTCAAAGCGAGGTAGTGGTAACACTGTAGGAAATAAAACAATTTTATCTTCAGAGCGCGAGACTGTCTGTCGGAAATTCTAAAGATACGTTGTTTTTAAATATTTTTAGCCCAAAGGGATGTTAGCCCGAAAGCTCTCAAAATGTATATGTATCTGTAAATGGGGGGGGGACGCCTGTTTGGACATAATATAAAATCTGAAAAGGATTTCAGATTTTATTTTTATACTGATACTGTAGTGTTTATTTAATTAACTTTTAACTCACTCTTCAATACACCGGCACATCATTAAAATGAACTGAAAGTGAATTACACTAGGAAATTTTTAATCAAGTCAAAAAAGCAACTTTTGTGATATATTTGAATAAACGATATCGCTTACGAGGGTGACCCGACGGAAGTTCTGCTTCTTTAGAAGCAAAGAAAAAAAAACAGGTTCTGCTAAGGTCAAAAAATGTTTTACCATTAGAGATATCAACAACGGGGTTAGTATTAACATTTGGAAGATTATCAGATTGTAATTATCAGATTATCAGATGACGATAGTGTGAGCTTACTAGCAGCATGGGTTCAAGACCAAAATTTGTGATGAACAGATGGAAAATTAGAACTGGATTTGACAATCTTTACACTGGGATGGTGTAATTCATGCTTAGGTTTTACATAAATTTTAAAACGTGTTTTTTCATAATGAGACGAAGTGACAATTTGAATTTATGCATAAATTTAGAAACCACGAATAGGAGCTTTAAGATTGCATTTCACTTATTTAAAATTGGGAATGATATTCTCATATTTACATTTAACTGAGAAATGGATACGGTTAAATAATTTCATACTCTTCAAGCGTAACTTGACAAAACGGGTTCTTGTCCGATGGCATGGTAAAATAAATAGGAAAATACACAAAAGTGTGATAAACACCAAAGGCATGAAAATATAGGAAAAAAGGAGGAAAAGGGAACATGAAAATGTTAAAAACCGTAATAAGGAAAAATAAAAAGTTCAAAATGATAGAAACTACGAAGCAAACAAAAGGGTAAAACAACGCTTACGATGCAAAAAAATATTAGAAAATTAACAAAATATTTCAAATTAAGAAAATATTAAATACGAATTAAATCATCAAAAATCAAGAAGAGATAAAATTGAAACGGAAACTCGCTAACTTTCGAGACTGAAAAAAACCCATAATGTATTCGTAAAACAATGATCCAAGAAAAAAAGAAATTCAAGATGCAAATTTTTACTCTTGAAGAACATGGACCTATATCGGATCGTTCTCGAAATCAATACAGTTTAATTAAAATTCTACGCCATACAAAATTATTAGCCAAAGGACGATTAGTCTAGAAACGTTTTGCGTTGTTCAGTGTAAAAGTGCTGTTTCACGGTTCATTAGAGTCTGTTGGCATTCTGCAAAATATAAGATATTTATTAGCCCAGAAGAGCTATTAATTTCGTTTTGGCATTTTGCGTCGAAAACTTTAAATGTCCGTTTCACTTTTCAAATTGTTACCACCAGATATTATCGCTCTGTATTATATTTAACGAAATTAAATAATAAAGAATCTGCATAAATGTATGTATGTCTCTCGCATTGTGATAAAGCAACGGTACTTAGAGACATCCAATTTTGAATAACGTAATTTTTCAGCGGATATGAGCATCTGGAAGTCCTAATTTAGGATTTGTTTTACTATCGATTTCATATTTTGTAACGATTTAACAAATTTTTGATTAACAAACTCAACGATTTCAAAGCGACCAATGGCAAAACTATACCAAATTTAAAAAAAAACATTTTTATCTTCAGTGCGCGAGACTGTGTATCGGAAATTCGAGATATGCTCATTTTAAAATCATTTTGCGATATTGCTGTTTAATTGAATTTTAAGTGCGAAGAACATGACATTTAATAAATAAAGGTAATACACAAAACATTAGAAAAAAAAACCCTCTTTTGGGCGTAATGTAAAATCTGAAAGCTTTCAGATTTTTTTAAAATTATTTTTTTTCTTTTAAGTTTAATCTCTCTGTTAGCTATTAATAAGATAAGATACTTAAAAGCAAAAAACGCAATTCTTAAAAATATTATTTTTTACTTACTGATGGAATTAAATAAAAATTGCATACAATAAAATAATTAGAAACTGAATTTGGTCGATTTAAATAAAAAGTGCGTTTAATTCATGATATATCTAATAAAAAATATCAAATATTTTAAAAGATCACGGTATATATTTTTCACTTTTCATATAGCAAAAGATATGTAATGTAATCATGCTAAGTTAAATGTATATTCATCTAAGATCCTGTAAAGTATTTCACTATTCCACGTAGACCATTTTTTCTTTTATTGGTACATACTTGCTGATGCCATTACAAAAACTAAATCCCAAATTTTCTTTTTGAATAGTTGCCTTACTTTGGATTGCCCTGGATGCGATCTCAGTACATGCAAAGATCCAGGACCATGCAGATTCGGGAAAACCAAGGACGTCTGTGCATGCTGTACTGTTTGCTACAAGGTTTGTAACAGCTATTTACATTCAGTTAAGAGGAGCGAGATGGAGGGAATGCAAGTGATATCTCTCTAATAGTCAATATTTGTTAGAATGGTTATTTTCACTTCCCGGGTGATAGATACTTATATGTTTAATTTGTTTTTAAAGTTTTAACAATGCTTTACTTAGCAGTGTAACTGCTCTAATTAGCAGTATAACCATTTGAAAATAACAATATTTTTTAGTTTTGATACTTTCCATTTTATACCATTTTACGTTCATAAAAGAAAATTTATATCATGTGGAGAGATTTTTGTGCTCTATATGTATAAGAGACATCTTTATTTTTCATCCTGGTGATGATTTTGGACTTTAGAAACGTTGATTGTTTACTATTTCTGTTGTTGTTATGATTAACTTTTCTGATCATCTACATTATCAAGAATTCTAGATCTTAAACAACGGTCTTCTTTTTACCTCCACTCTCTCTAAAGGCATTTTGAATAGACAGTAATTTAAGTGAGCTAATGTCACAATGATATTTATAAACATTCGTGCCTTCTTCGAGCCCACTGATATGGCAGTTGCTACCTATGAATATAACCACCTTACTAAGCATTTGCAGCATTTCTGTTTCTCGCGTTAGGTTATCTTACGCTTTAAAAGCATTAATAATCCAAGCAATTAGCATTCCAAGCAAAAGTAGCAATTTTCCAAGCAAAAGGCGCCCAAAATTGCTACTTCTGAGAACTGATGCCAGTCTGGTGGTTGAAGGTCTTTAATTATTATATCCTACAAATTGCCTATTCACTTTATTCCGAGACAAAAGGTTTTTAATTATAAAATTTCATTGCATGTAACCTAATAAAAAGAAATATTTATAAAACACAAAGAAATTCATATTAATTTTTTTAAACTATTTTATAATTTTACAAGTTTTTAACAATGTAATGAAATTATATGTATAATTAATTAATTTTTATAAGCGCATATACTACTAAGCGTTTCTTAATGTCACGTACTGTGTAATATTTGAACCTAGAATTTTTGGCCTTTCCTCCCAAATAGAACATGATTTGAAGCACATTCTGTCACATTCTTGCCACTAGATGGCGCGCATCTCTTCCTTTACTTTTGCTGTAATTAAGTTCCGAGAAGCAGTAGAGATTGGAACCGCTCAGAGGAGCGTAAAGACTCAGAACTAAAAATGTACTGTCTTAAAATAGTTATCACCTACCTTGTAAATAGTGTATATTAGCTTTTTATTTCAATAAATAATTAAAAGACAAGATGGCTTGTTTAGCAGTAATAGAAACTCTTACTGGAAAACGTGATTATTAGAAGCCTGGCGTCGTGAACACTGAAGATGCAGCAGGTAAGGAATTTTACATTAATTTTATTGTAAATAGAAGAACCTGATGCAACATTTCTATGGCGCCCGAACAGGGACTCGAGGTTTTTTGAAAAGTTCTAATAAAGTGAATTCAAAAGCTGAATATTAAAATTGAAGATTTTAATACTTGTTCTTGAAGTATTCAGCAAAAGAATAATTTTGTTTTCTAAGTAAGAGTTAAATATTTGTTTTTCATGAGACGTATATTTTTTGTGTAAATGTTTGAATCTAAGAAAGATAATGGCTGAAGTAGATAAATTAAAAAAGAAAAGAAGTATCTTAAGAACTGCCGTTACAAAACTATTTAAGAAAATCGAAAGTGAATTAAATAAATCTGAAGGTAGTATTAATGAGCTCGAAGAATTGTTAGAACAGCTTAATGCTAAAACCGAAACGCTATCTAATGCCGATGTGGAAGTTGAACCAATTCTGAGTGTAGATGAATTCGAAAATGAATTCGAAATTACAGAACAATATCGCGAGAAGATAACGTTATGGAAATTCAGGCTTAAGAAACGGATTATTAAGGAACTTAATCATGACTTAAGATGACTTAAATGCACCGAACACACAGCAAAATATAAAAGATACACCTAATGTTAAATTACCAAAACTTTCGATTCCCGTATTTTATGGGAACAGTAGTCAATGGCTTACTTTTTGGAATAGTTTTGAGTCCTCAATACATAATAACGAATCATTGAACAAAGTAGACAAATTTAATTACCTGAAAGCATATTTAGGAGGAACAGCTGCTAGCTTGCGTTCAAGGACTTCCGTTATCGCCAAAACATTATGATTCAGCAATTCAAATCTTACACGACCGTTTTGGAAGGAGAGACATTCTTATTAATGCGCACATGAATAATTTGCTGAATATTGAATCATTAAAAAATGCGAATGACATAAAAACATTTCGTAACTTGTATGATAAAGTACAAACACAGATTAGATGTCTCGAAGCGTTAGATGTTGTATCGGAATCTTACAGCGCTTTGCTGTGTCCGATGATTTTGAAGTTATTGCCTTCAGAATTAACGCTTGAATTTCATAGAACACAAAATGTTGGCACCGATTATAACATAAAAGATTTAATGTCATTTTTACACGCAGAACTTTCATCCCGTGAACGCACGAGGTCAACGGTTTCGCAACAGCAAAAAGTATCCGATCGGCGACAGTCTTCTTCCCCCCCTGCAACGAAAAGCGCATATGGTCTCTCAAATAGACATAATAAACCAAAGATTCCGACCGCTACAGATTTGTTTACAAAATCCGAATGCAGAGAGGAAAATATGAACTGCGTCTTCTGTAATCAATTTCACAAGACTTATGACTGTAGTTTCGTTTCCGGCTTATCATTACAAGAAAAAAGGGGACATTTTAAAAAGAAAATGTGCTTGCTATAAATGCCTAAAATTACACCATTTGGCTCAAAACTGCAGAACAAAAATAACTTGTTCTATTTGTAAAAAAACAACATGCAACTATTATGTGTAATAAACAAAATCCTTCTGTCGAGGTTTCGGAAATTAAAAAAGACAAACAGATAGAAAATAAAGTACTTTCAAATCAAGCAGGATGTTCAGAAGTATATTTGCAAACTTTAATTGTTCGCATATATGGAAGAGGGAATAACCAATTTGTTCGAGCGATAATTGACACCGGAAGTCAAAACTCATACATAAGCAGGTATGCAGCAGAAAGGTTACAATTAAGAAGCTTAGGTGAACAAAGTGTAACCCACGGACTTTTCGGTGGCATAGAAGTTTCGGAAAAACATAAACGTTATAGAATAAAATTGGGTAGCGTAGATAAACGGTATAATTGCGAAATCAATGTATTGGATGAAAGAAAAATATGTTCTTCGGTCCCTAAAATCAAAAATATACACTGGATTGGGGAACTTAGAAGAAGAGGAATTTACGTCAGTGATGTTTTTGAAAATGGAAATTGCAGATTATTCCAGGAGAACCCCCAAGAGATTCATTTGTTGTTAGGGGCAGATGTTGCTGCAAATTTATTTACAGGTAAAATCGAAGTTCTTCCTTGGGGAAGATTAGTTGCTGTAAGTACAAGACTTGGGTGGACAGTCATGGGGAAAGCGAACACTGACAATTATGAAATAGAAAATTCCTTTTCCACGCTTTCGTTATCTTTACATATTTCTGATGCCACGTTGTCAGAACTGTGGAGGCTTGATGTTATCGGAATAACAGATCCAGTTACAAAAAAGGCTAGAGAGGAAAGGGATTTGCAAGCAAAATTGCAATTCGAAAATTCTGTATCTCTAAACGAAGAAGGGCGTTATGAAGTCGCACTTCCGTGGGCGGAGAATCATGTACCACTCTTCCACCCACAAGGATTTAGCGTTGAAACGTCTACAATCTACCACCCAGAAACTTTTATCTCAAAATTTATTTTCTTCATACAATGCAGTTTTTAATGACTGGTGTAACTTAGGAGTGATCGAAGAAGTTAAAGAAAATATTGCGGTTGACTATGGACATTATTTGCCGCATAGACCGGTGATCAAAGAAAATAGCTCAACACCACCAATTCGACCGGTGTTTGATGCGTCTGCGAGGAGGAAACAATCGTCTCCTTCTCTAAATCAGTGTTTGGAGTGTGGACCAAATTTGATAGAACTAATTCCATCTCTTTTGTTGAGATTTCGGGAAGGCAAGTTTGCTGCTATAGCAGACATTGAAAAGGCTTTCTTACAGATCAGTGTAAGGCCTCAAGATAGAGACTGGCTTCGGTTTTTCTGGTGGAATGATGTGGAAGAAAGGAAAACGAAAATATTTCGTCATACTAGGGTAGTATTTTTGGGGTTAAGAGTAGTCCTTTCCTTTTGGCAGCTGTTATAGAATTCCATCTACAAAAGTACGTGAAAAATTCTTCATATGATACGGAGATAATAGCTAAACTCTTGCGTAGCTTCTACGTAGATAACGTTGTTGGCAGTTTTGACAAAAAATCCGAGATGATCCAGTTCATCGAAAAATCTCGAGAAATAATGTATGAAGGAAAGTTTAATCTTCGAGGTTGGTTACATAACGGAGATAACTTGAAACATGACCCGTATTGGGTGTGTTATGGAACTCTCAGAAAGATAATTTAACTTTGAATCTGAATTGGCTAGAAGATTTTGAAATGGGTATAATAACGAAGAGAACAATTCTCGCTGTAACACACAAAAATATTTGATCCTATTGGTATTGTGAGTCCTGTTCTCTTGTATCCTAAAGTATTGTTGCAGAACCTATGGAAAACAGGAATTTCTTGGGATACTGAAGTCGACGAGAGTACAAAACAAAATTTTGTGAATTGGTATAAAAGCCTTTTTCTCTTAAAAGAAATATCCCTCCTACGTTGGATACATTCCAGCAAGGACAATAGGAAGTTCTGCAGCATTCACACATTCTGTGATGCCAGTAGTAATGCGTATGCTGCTGCAGTTTTCTTGAGAACTGTGACGAATTCTGGAGTTGAAGTTCATCTGTTGGCATCGAAGTCTAGGGTAGCTCCCGTGAAAATCTATTACGATCCCTCGTCTGGAATTGATAGCTGCCACGATAGGTGCCAGACTATGCTCTTCTGTTTTAAATGGTTTGCAATGGCAAAATATGGAAACGCATTTTTGGACGGATTCTACAACAGTTTTGACATGGATTCAAAGGGAAGAGATTGTCTGGGCTGTCTTTGTGGAAAACAGAGTCAGGGAGATTAGGAAACTGACGGATCCAAAAACGTGGAAACATATTGCTGGAACGAAAAATCCAGCTGACCTCCCATCAAGAGGTTGCACCGCCAAACAACTTTTAGCAGTTAGATGGTGGGAGGGCCCCGACTGGCTGAAGAAAAAATCAGGAAGAATGGCCTATACAAAGGGAAATACCGGACATGGAAATAGTGAATTCAGAAAAAAGGAAATCAGTCATTTCTGCACTAAATACGCAAAGGGTAGAACATTTTTTTGAGAAATATTCATCTTACCATAAAATGTTAAGAATAACTGCTTGGATATGCAGATTTATCAACAACTGCAGAAGACCAGATTCTAAACAATCAGGAGAACTCACGGTCCCTGAAATAGAAACTGTAGAAAAGAAAATATGCAAGATAATACAAATAGAAGCATTTGGCAAAGAACTTAAAGTTAGCAACCTTTGTACCTTTTTTGACTCAGATGGCCTTATTCGGTTAAAGACCAAGATTACTAGAAGAGAGGAAGAAGAAAATTTTCTCTGTCCAATTGTATTGCCCTCAAATCATAACTTAGTTCATAGGTTAATTTTAGATTACCATTTGCGACTATCCCACGCTGGTGTGCAATTCGTACTAGCCAATATTCGACAGAAATTCTGGGTCCTGAGAGGAAGAAAAACAGTACGTAAAGTTCTTATGAAGTGTGTTCGCTGTAGAAGATATAGCGCAAAGAATATAGAGACTGTTCCAGCACCTCTTCCTGAAGATCGAGTTAGAGATGCTCTGGTGTTTGAAGTGACCGGAGTCGATGTAGCCGGTCCTCTTTATTTACGAAAAGGAAAAAAGGCATGGATCTTGCTCTTTACTTGCGCGGTCTATCGCGCGATACATCTTGAACTGATAGAAAGTTTATCAACAAATGCGTTCATCTTGGGATTAAGGAGATTTATTGCCAGAAGAGGTCGTCCAAGTATTATTTACAGCGACAATGGCACTAATTTCGTTGGAACTGAAAATCTGTTAAGATCGATAGATTGGAAAGAAATAGAATGTAATTCAACTAGTATGAGAATACAGTGGAAGTTTAATCCCCCACTGCTTCATGGTGGGGCGGTTGGTGGGAGAGGTTGGTACAAACAGTGAAGAAGATGTTGAGAAATGTTCTCGGCAAGTCCTGTGTCTCTTACGAGGAAATGTTGACTATACTTTGTGATATCAAATCAGTGATTAACTCAAGACCCCTTACGTACCTTTCAGAAGATCCAAATGATCTTACGACGGTACTAACTCCTTCAATGTTTCTACAAGATGTGCACGACGTCGGAGTACCAGACTTAGACTACCTGGATACCATCAATCTGACAAAAATATACAAGTTCTTGCAGAACTTAAGAGAACATTTTCGCAAAAGATTTCGTGATGAATATTTAGCTATCCTAGTGCAAAAACCAAACGATCTAAACGGACTATCAACAAAAAAGACTTGGTGTTTGTCGGCAGCGACAACAAGAAGAGAATAGATTGGCCAATAGGTCGTGTTGTAGAACTATATCCTGGGAAAGACAACGAAGTACGTGTTGTCAAAGTGAAAACTGCAACGGGTGAACTCCTAAGACCTGTGAATGAAACGTATTTATCCTCTCGAACTTGATAGACCTAACTTGTTTAGTGACTTCACCATGAACAGAAAAAACTCTGCCGATAAGTGTGACAGTGATATGAACTATCAAACTAGATATGGACGTAAAACTGTAAAACCTCTTACATATTTTTAAATTGCTATACTAATTTTTGTTTCTTTTCAGTATTTTAGAAATTTAATTGTCCTAACAGTTGTCAATTGGAACATGTTATCTGGATATGGTATGAATGTAATGCAGAAAATGTTTAGATGTGTAATCCTTCTTTGTAAGTATTAATTTTAGAGCATTAGTTACTTTTCATATTTGTGAAAGTTGTACTTGAATTTTTGTTTTGATTATTGATAAATTTTGTTTTGATTTTCCCATCTTATCGAGGTAAAATCAAAAGGTGGGAGGATGTCACATTCTTGCCACTAGGTGGCGGGCATCTCTTCCTTTACTTTTGCTGTAATTAAGTTCCGAGAAGCAGTCGAGATTGGAACCGCTCTGAGGAGCGTAAAGACTCAGAACTAAAAATGTACTGTCTTAAAATAATTATCACCTACCTTGTAAATAGTGTATATTAGCTTTTTATTTCAATAAATAATTAAAAGACAAGATGGCCTGCTAGCATTGTAATAGAAACTCTTACTGGAAAACGTGATTATTAGAAGCCTGGCGTCGAGAACACTGAAGATGCAGCAGGTAAGGAATTTTACATTAATTTTATTGTAAATAGAAGAACCTGATGCAACACATTCTAAACAGAATATGAAAATTATAAATTTCACTTCTATAATTTTATTGTCTTGATTCATTATTAAATTAATACTTGACCATAGAATGTTAGTCTCTAGAACAGGATTAGAAGCACATTGTAAAGAGAATATAAAAATCATAAGTTTCACTTTTGTAATTTGTTTATGGTCTTTATTCATTATTAAATTTAATCAATATTTAAATTGACACTCCCATAGAAAACTTGTACTGTCAATTATATTCTCAAAGATGCGTTACCTATTAACAAGAAAAACAATAGTAGAAATTGGAAGAGAAACTTTACATTTTGCGATACTTTTAGTGATGAAAGAGCTATTAAATTTATAACCAAAGTTAGTTAATAATAAAATTGCTCTTCGAAAATATCCGTCGCTCAGAAATTTGACATTACTTAAATTTAGAAATTTGATTGGGTTGGGATTTCTTGCATTAAGTTTAGAACAAATTTAAGAAAAACAAATTCATTTATTTTGTAAGTTTTTTCAGATTTCATTGAATCCGTTTTCTTGCAGTGGCGACAGGCCTAGGATAACTGAAGTAAAATTATTTTCAGCACAAGTTAGAAACTAATATCGCAGAAACCTTATCAATGATTTATGTTGTTGATCATCAGATTCAAGGTTCACATATCGTTTTCTCGAAACTTTTGAGGATATCCAAAAACATAACGATTTTCTGTAAACTTTTCGAGGTCGTGTAACAAATTTTTGTTTCCTTCTCCTTTACTTTTTTTTTTAGCCTAAAAAGAAGCTATTAGTCTCGAAATGGGATTTTATGTCGGATCACTGTATCACTTTTCAGATTGTTGCCACCAAATATTATCGCCTAGTATTATTTTGAAAGAAATTAAAAATAATGAAGAATCTGCATGTATGTATGTGTACGTTCCTCACAGTGTGAATAAAACATCGGTATTGAACATTTGCTAAACCATAAGGATGGTAAAAGCATAGTAGTAAAGGCATTTACAGAACTATTTAGAATTTTTGAAACAAGAAACGGAAAAACTTAGGTGTACTATAGCCGGGATTCAAACTTGTCTGGCGTAGTGAAATTCCTCGTGACAAGAAGACCAAGATTAACGCCTGTCGTTAGCAACAGCTTTGAGCACCACTCAAGTGACAGCGCGATTTAGCTCAGTTGCACTCCCAATTTTGATAGAGAGCACCCTGGGGGCACGGGTATGAGGGTCTTCCACTCCTCTTTCCTTCCACTAAACCACACGAGAGGATTTTCGGCTCGCCGCGTATTCAGAGTGCCCCCTCATGCCGCACCGACACTATACGTTTACAGACATCCATGCCTTCTCCGGGATTCGAACCAGGGCCTTTCGGCACGGCAGTCAGTGTCGCTAACCACTATATCGGTTATAGTAAGTATTGGCTTTGTTTATTGAAATAACTCCAGCCCAGGCGGTGTAGTTGTTAGGAAAGCCTACTGTGATACCGAAGGGCCCAGGTTCGAATCCCGGAGAAGACATGGATGTTTGTAAATTTATAGTGTCTTTGTAACATGGGGTACTCTAAATATGTGGTCAGCCGAAAGTACTCTCGAGAGATTGTTGGCAGGGAAGGGGGTTAGGAGACTCTCGGAAACGTCCTTCCGGACTACTCTCCATCAAAATCGGGAGCAGAAATGAGCGAAGCCGTATTCTCACTGGATGGTGCTCGAGGCTCTTGCCAACCACAGGCGCAATCTAGCTCTTCTTGCGATGATGAATTTCCTGGTATTGTTCTGATGTTATTGTCAGACAAGTGAAATAAGTCACAACAACAGCATCGAAATAACTGATCTAAATGATACATTTCTTATATTTGGAAAAAGTTTACCATAATCCAAATGAGCAAGTGTCGAAAGTATGTTTTCTGCCGAAAAGTATCATATTGACGCACATATCTTTTAAGAAAAATTTTTGTGGCGCGTGTTATTCTGTAAGGGATCCCTATAAGATAATACTCAAAATACCAAAACTGACTTTATAGAGAACAATAAATTAATGTCATCAATTCAAAATATTTGATTGAATTATTTTATTTGATTTCTTTTAAAAGGGCGTTGGAGAAGAATGTGGTGGTCCTTGGAACGTCAAAGGAGTGTGTGCTAATCATCTGACCTGTGTTCGCTTGCATAATAAAGACCCCGTGCAAAAATTCAACAGCGAAGGAATATGTCTTGCTTTGCCTTAATTTTCTGAAAATGTAAATTAAATTAAAATAGCTGTATCTAATAAAAATTTCTCTGAAGCATTTTTTTTTATTTCACTGTCATAGTATTTTTTTAACTCATTAAACACTTCCTTAATACTTAGTCACTTACTCTGAGTTTACGAAGTAAGTGTCAACAGTTACTCAAGCTATCTAACTTTATTTTTCGATTTTCAAATAAGCTGTTTAATGTATCATTCTGTTGTTCGTACTTATTTTCTTTAAGTTCATAGCTTCTAATGATATAATTTTCATATATCTACTTGCTTGCTTTGCATTTAATTAGTGTGCTTATTATAACGTTTCAGAGTGTACTTAAAACTGGAATTTCATGATTATAATGATGAGACTTAGGGTAATTATTATGGCTTAAGGTGATTATAATGACGAAACTTGGGGTGATTATAACGCTGGGACTTAGGGATTATTAGGGTAATTCCAGACCAATAACGTTTCTAAGATGTGCTTTTCGGTAAGGCGTATTATATAATCCTTCAAAACAATAACAACAAACAAACAAACAAAATCTATTCTGTATCTCTCGCCCCGCCCCCCCCCTGTAGTCGGCTGATTGACGAAGTTAAAACTTGCGATTTTCATACCTTGAAAACGCGACTTACGATGCATATTACATTCATGTGCAGCATTTTTAACATCATATTTTGAAAAAAATTAGACTTTATTGAATTAACATACCGGCCTTTTTTTTAATATTTCGATTCTACACCATGAACTTTCAAAGTTCCAAGTTTCGTAGAAATAGTTTATGAAACTGGTAGCAGCAGTTTTATTTTTAAATCAGCACTCAAAATTACCCCTCTGCAATGTTAATTGAATTTGGTATATATTTATTAACATATCTTTTTACTTCCTTGTACGAAGTAAAAAGGAAGTATTGTAATCGCAAAAAATTTCGCGTATTTTTAACGAAATTATTCATTTTGACGCTATCCAATGCAATTTAACGATGTTTTTGCGTGACATCTGAATGTAAGACAGAATAAAGGATTCTTTTGCCCCCCAAAAATTATAAAAGTGATTTTAAATGAATTCTGAAGAGAATTTTTCGTGACGTCTCTGCGTATGTACGTATCTCGCATGACTCAAAAACGAGTAGCCTCAGAACGTTGAAATTTGGTATGTAGGACTGCCATAACATGTGGATATGCACCTCGTATTTTGATTGCAATCAATCTCAACAAAAGTATATAAACATATGCACACACACACAGATATATATATATATATATATATACTCTGTTACTCGGCTCAGTGAGCTGGTTACAGCCGAAAACATCGCGGACGAAAACGTCGCTGAGAAACAATGCAAGGGGTGAAAACGTCGTGCTACAAAACATCGTGGGAGAAAACATCGCAAAGAGAAAACATCGCAGTTCTAAAACATCGTGGTACAAAACATCGTGGTCGAAAATAAAGCGGTTCAAAAACTTCTCAGTTTGAAAACATCGTCGTCGAAAATATCGTGGTAAAAAATAAAGTATCTACAAATCATCGCTTGACGATAACATCGCAGACAAGCTTTTTTCAGGCTTTAAAAACTGTAAATAGATATTCCCATAATAATTTGTAAGCGCAAGATGTAAAGAAGGATAATTTTTACTTTCACATTTTTTTATTAACTAATAAATTTTTGCTGAAAAAGTAAGAAGGAAACTTAAGCATACAAAATTAAATGCAACTTATAGATTATACTTTTTATGAAAAATTACCAGTAAAAACTTTATAAAATTGATTTATTAATGGTCTTTGTTAGTTAACTATGTCAGTTTAAAATTCTATTCAGTGCTATAAGTTGCATTAATTTTCTATGCTTAAGTTACAAATCATCGCTTGACGATAACATCGCAGACAAGCTTTTTTCAGGCTTTAAAAACTGTAAATAGATATTCCCATAATAATTTGTAAGCGCAAGATGTAAAGAAGGATAATTTTTACTTTCACATTTTTTTTATAACTAATAAATTTTTGCTGAAAAAGTAAGAAGGAAACTTAAGCATACAAAATTAAATGCAACTTATAGATTATACTTTTTATGAAAAATTACCAGTAAAAACTTTATAAAATTGATTTATTAATGGTCTTTGTTAGTTAACTATGTCAGTTTAAAATTCTATTCAGTGCTATAAGTTGCATTAATTTTCTATGCTTAAGTTTCCTTCTTATTTTCTCAGCAAAAATTTATTAGTTAATATACAATATGAACAACAAATTATCCTTCTTTCCATGTTGCGCTCACAAATTATTATGGGAATATCTATTTACAGTTATTAAAGCCTGAAAAAAAGCATGTCTGCGATATTATCGTCACGCGATGATTTGCAGATACTTTATTTTTTACCACGATATTTTCGACGACGATGTTTTTAAACTGCGAAGTTTTTGAACCGCTTTATTTTCGACGACTATGTTTTGTACCACGATGTTTTAGAACTGCGATGTTTTCTCTTTGCGATGTTTTCTCCCACGATGTTTTGTAGCACGATGTTTTCGCCTTGCGTTGTTTTCTCCGCGACGTTTTCATCCGCGATGTTATCGGCGGACACCCAGTGAGCTCAGTTTCTTTACTCTTATATGTTTGCAAATTGTGCATTGTTTGCTTTAAAAATGATTGAATTATGTTGTTCTGGTTCAGATTTTTATGTTTAGTTATTTTTATGTTTTTGGTCTTTTAGTTAACCTGCACGCAATAATTGTGGAATTAATTATCAACAATAGAAAAGTTTTTTAAGTGCGGCTAAGCCTACTTTTTGATTACCATAACGACCATGTTTGTTTACATTTGAAACTTAGCAGAATAGTGGATTTGTAGCAAATCTAGAGAAACTAACTTTTGCAACAACAAAGATACCGCCTTCATTTATTATTGCGAATTAAATCATGCTTAAGTCAGGCTGGAATTTATTCAAGGAAATAAGCGTTTAAGATTTACTTACGTAATTTTTAATATAGATATTTTGAGTTTTTATGTATTTTTGCCTTGTCGCGAAGTGAGAACTGAATTTAATTGAATGAGAAATACTGAATCGTCTGTGAAAAACTGTTTCTTTTTTATTGTTTTGTATGCTTAATTTCTTTTATACATCGTTATAGATTTATTATAGTATTTGAATAGAACATGTGGCAACGATTAGATAATTCTTCATATGATATAAATTTTGTGCATTCTGAATGAAAAATTCTCACGAGCGTCTCATTTGTTCAAAGTTTACTTATTCTACGGACGGCGGCACAGTAATCTCTGAGTTCTAGCACAGCATGTGTACAAATACTTCCATATTATTGGATACAACTTACTCGATTCTTCACGCATTTAAAAGTCAAGTGTAATATATTGGTAAAGGCCGTTAATGATCAATTGTCTAAGTGATAAGACATAGACATATGAAAAATTCTGAATGAAAAAATGAATAAAATTTAAGGCTGTTAAAGGAACCTAGCGCCAGAGTGTCACTATGATAAACAAATACAGTGAATTTTAAAGAGTGCATTTATTCTATTGTGGTTTATGCGCTGTTTACTTAAATGACTGCAATAAAAAGAGATGCATTTATTACCAGAGGGAGAAACCATCTTAAAACATGTTTAAAAGCACTTAAAGGAAGTTTTTCAAGAGGATTTATGATTGTTGCTGATTTTTCATATAACGGCAAATCAAAAATAAATAAAGAGAGTGTTCAGATAATCTCCACATATTATCAGAAACATATTTTATACTCAATTATCAACACAGACACTTCTCTTTACCCACAGTGTCATCAATCAGTAAAACTGCATCAAGATAAAGCAGCCACACGTCAAAGTCCACAGTTAGTTTCCTGCAAAAAAATGGAACAAGAAACAGATAGCCAGGCCATATCCTTCACTCACATCTCTACTAAATCTGATCTATCACCAATGAATTTTTGCGCTTTTGGACTTTTAGAAAGCAGATTTTCCAAACGTCGACCTGCAACCTTCCTTAGACTTTGGAAAGCTGTTCAAGAGGAATGGGATAAAGTAGTTTTTCCGATACTATAAAAGGAAACTACACTGGAGAAAGATAGTGAATAATAAGGTTTATCAAATAGTACATTTAAAACACAAAAAAGTTTAGGTAAAATATTTGTTTCAATACAATGAAAATCGTCTAATAAATGGGTGATAAATCTCTTTATTTTTTGCCTGCTTGAGTCAAGCTGACCGACATATGTCCCTGAATTTCATCCAGACTAGGCAATTTACTACTATTAAAGTTATTAAAAACAGCGCCCAGTTTCCATAAGTAAAATCTTTCTTAGAAGGGACACCGTCACCCGAAGAACGGCTGTAACGGTGAGTAAGATTTCTAGTTTACCTTGCAATCATGCTCTTAGCATGGTTGAAAAGTCGACTCTCCCTCTGATTGTGTATTTCGAAATCATTAGCGGCTTCGCTTTCACTATAGAGCGTATCGTCGGAACGTGTATAAGAATTAGTCACTTCAAGCTGAAGCTGGACTTGTTCAAAATTATTTGCTAGTTTGAAATGGAAGTTCAAAAGTCAAATTTTTTCACACATGTCAATCCACTCCCTTCGCCAAAAATTGGCATTAATTCACTTGAATTTTTGCATCAACTGCATGAATGTAGTTCTCAGGGAAGAAGATGGAGATGGTAACAGATCATCTTTAAAATCAATATCTTGCTCAAATAGAGGGAATAATGATTAAAACTGGCTTTTGAACCTTTTTCTGTCGCATCTGGAAACTATCGTTTTAGTAGCTTTCAGAGCAGAACTTTTTAAATACTGCCATTCATTTTCAACATCACCAACCGATAAATCTTGGCGTGAAAAGCAGTACAGGGAAATTTTATATAAATCCAAATTTTCTTTATTGAAATTTTGGTAATTTTTGTTTTTTGTTGATTTTTGTTTTAAGGAAATGTTTCAGCTAATTAGTATAGGCAGTTTTTCACCCAATAAACTCCAGCACCTCCGAAAGTAAAATTGAAATAAATATCCGAGCTGACACATGCAACATCTAAAACTTTTCGGCTATTTATAACTATAAAACAGATCATCTTCAGTGCTGGAATGTTGGAGATCTCTAACAGTGAGTTGGAGTTCCACTTTTCCGTGAAACAACAACAAACAAAAAAATTGTCTACATTGTCGGCCACAAAATTTGAGATGCCAACTGATCTCTGGAGTAATGGGGAATATTCCGTAAAAACTTGCTTCGCGTTAAAATTACCCATTAGAATACCCATTAGAGTGCAGTTATAGACATCAATGAGCCAAGTCATAACGGGTGACTGCAAGAGGATGATATGAATTATAAATGACTTATTTCTACATTTAAGCATTATAACTTGAATTTCAAGCTCAGAATCTTCGACAGGATCTACTGTTTTGATAGCGTGGTTTATATTTCTTATAAAAACATCAAACCACTCTTTGAACACCTATCTTGTAAGAGAATACAATAGTGAGGCCTCCAGTTTAGTCTCTTGAATAGCAATAACTTGGACGTCTTGTTTATTGCCAAGATCCAATAACTGATCAAGCTTAATTCGCTTCACACATGTACACTTATTACATTGCAATATCCTTAAAGTGTTTTTGTTGGAGAGGGAAAGCTTTGTAGTCTGTAATTGATTTTTCAAACGGGGGCCTCTGCTAACACTTCGAACGTGTCTCTTTTTATTCTGCGCGACGGTCGAGACAGTGTTAAATATCTTAGTTTAAACGAGGAAAATGAATGAAATAGTAAATGACCATGGTAATGAAATAGTAAATGCAGTCACTAGTAAATGCAGCTTCAGTAGATGTGAAGATCCTTAGATTCCAAGTTTGACTTTGTCTGCTATGCTTTAGTTGAGTAAATTGGAATAACATTCATACCTTGGAAGACCTTATCAGAAATTAGTAACCTACATATTTTGTCCATTCCACTGAGTGACGCTTCCAGCCACGATGAGGTAGTGTAGAAGGTTACTGGATGGGGGTATTTTTTATTTTTAATTTACGCAAATAATGTTGCACGTTCGCTATGTGCTAACACCTGAAACGTGCACCTATTTTATAGATATAAATTCTATAAATCCTATGACTAAGAAACATAAGATCTCCTTTTCGGAAAAAAATTATCGATTAAAACTTTCACCGACAGTTTGTATTATTCGTCATTTCATCTTTTAGCAACACAAACGTTTTATTAAACTAATGTTTCATTTTTTACTTATATACAGATTTATATACTATTCCCGTTACTTTGTATACTGCTCCTGAATTTTCAGAAAGCATGGATTAAAATTTAAAATGAAATTACTTCGTGTGCCACTCCTGAATTTTCAGAAAACGTGACCTGAAATTCAAAATTAAATCGGTCAATTTTTCTTGTACGGGAGTCAAACGTTTTGTATTTTAATTTTTAGATCGAGTCAAACTGTTATTGAATATAACTATAGGACCTAGGGGAAGATTTAAATAAATATAACTATAAGGACTAAGGGAGGATTTAAAAAGTTAGATTTTGTAAGTTTTTGAAAACGTAATTTAATTTTAATATGTCATAACATGGATATTTGTCTTATTTTAAATACTTTTGTGATTGAAATTATATGTCAGTGACCGACCATTGCTAACATAAAGGCCACATAATTTTTAATATACTTCAAATATATTTTTCTAATATGTTTCTGTAAATTCCTGACTGAGAGGATTTCCGTATTATATAAAAACCCTCTAGTGAATTAACACTGTCGGAATTACTAACGTTAATTTTTTTTTGAAAATTGTACAGTTTGTTTTTTAATTTTGTAAACATTGTTCTCCTTTAAAGGTTCTTTGCATGGAAATTGAATAACGCATTTAAAAAAATAGTTTTTTTTTTTTTTTTTTTTTCCATTTTGGGAACAAATTACACGATTTTGTATTTGCAGTAGATTTAATTTTCTTCTCTTAGACAGATTTACAAGTGTAATTCTTCCGAAAGACCATCCATTACATTTAAAATAGGTCTTTCTTTGTTATGCTCTCATTTTAGAACTGGAGTTCAAGACGATTGTAGAAATAAATTTTTTTTTATAATTTATTTTTTATGCCCTGCGCAAACTGCTATTGCACACTCGGTTAAGATAACACATTTTTCTTATCATCAGCGAACTTTGATTCCAGGTATTCTTGCGCGAAATCATTGTCTGCAGCTTAACAAGGCTCGGCTAACAACCGCGGAAACGTCTAAGTAACTATTTAGTTTCTTTTCGAATACGTCAAGATCATAATATAAATACTTACTATTAATTTTTAGCCTACCAAGCCAAAATTTACTTAAATGATTAGGTAATTTCTAATCAGGCAATAATTCAGGCAGTTTTTTTTAAAACTTTTCCTGACTTTTGTTAGATTTAGATGCTCAAAAGTGCATCTTTATCTTATTACATCATTTCCGAAAGAAACTGATTGGTAAGTAAAAGTTGAACTAATATCTTCTTAGTAAAAATTGTACTTTTTACGTCTAAATGCATGTTGCGTGCTTTATATCTGTTGTACTAATTTTGCACTAAGTATGTATTTTTCATAAAAAGTACTCATTTTTTATAACGGTATGCATTACATATTGCTAATTAGTATTGTAAAAAATGTACAAACGGAACTAAGGATGTCTTAAAGCCATCTAACTTAATTCCGGAAATAGTTCCTGAAACTATTTTATTCTATAATTTCGAACTATTATTTCTATAATGTAAAATTTTATTTTACAATCGAACAAAACTTTCTAAATTGTTTCCGCAACTCAATATATTCTGTAAGCCAAAAAGTTTTATAAGTTAAATCGAGTTATATTTAAAAAATCGTAATCAAGGAATATTCTGATATCTTCAAGATTATGTTTTAAAAGAGAGATTAAAAAAACATAAAATCTAAAAGCTTTTATAACAATTTTATAAGGCCCAAAGGTGAGTTTTGCACGAGGGATTCGAAACGGGATTTGGAAAATGATACAGACATTCAGTCATTCGATGCAAAATACCGTTAGGTATTGTAACGTCTTTGTGTTGCTACGCTACCAACATAATAGATATAAAGAAACCTTACGCATAAAATATTTGTGCTTGAAGGTGCACGAGATGTTAATGTTAATGGAATGCTTTGAAATCGTTGAGTTTGTTAATCAAAAATTCATTAAAGTTTTACAAAATGTGAAATAGGTAATAAATAAATTCCAAATTTGGCCTTATGCCCATATTCGAGTGGAGGACTATGTTATTCAAAATTTGGTATCTCTAGATACCGTAGTTTTTTCACAGTGAGAGAAACATACATACATTCATGCAGATTCTTCATTATTATATATATTCAGATTCATCTTTAAATATAATGCAAGGCTTTAATATCTGGTGGCAACAATTTGATAAAGTGATTTAGACTTTTATAATGAACCAACGCAAAATGCCAAAACGAAATTAATAGTCCTTCTGAGATAACGCACTTAAAAAAAAGACGTTTCAATAAGTTTTCTTGAATTTCTAGCGAAAAGTAATCTTAAAATATAAGAGAATTATAATTTAAAATGAGATAAGCAAAGCTAATTGTAAAATCCATGCCGTATGAAATGAAAGAAAGTAAGGTAAATATAAGGTGTGTGTGTGTGTGATTATGGCAAAGCCTCGAGGGCTATCTGCCTAAGGGGAGGGATGCCTTCGTGGAGGACTTTCTAAGGGAAACTGGCTCGTATACACGTTACACATGGGGAAAACCACGAAAACGCCCATGCAGCCAGCCCGTTCGCGGGATTCGAACCTCGGACCGAACTACCAGTGTTCAGCGACTTTACCGCTCAGCCGCTGGTGGGCGGTAAATATAAGGAATCAAGAAATTTCTTTTTCCGTAAAGTTGTATCATAACGGTAGCAGATTTAATTAGCAAGCTTTTGGACTCGTGGTTAGAGAGCTGTTTTTCACATTCAGCTTTCCAAAACTTTCATTGCGCGTACAACTTTTATTACTTATAATAATCCAGATAATAATAAGTTACTAACTGATGTAATAAGAATTAAGTGGGTTTAGATAATATCAATCAAATTGATTATTAAAGTGTTAAAAAAAAGGCCGAAAAGAAGAAAAATGTTTTTCAGCTAAAATAAGTCCTACATGTAGCATTAGAAATTTTTCTTATTAATTGTTATAATGCTACACCAATCAATAAACATCATCAGTTGGATATAGTATATATCAAAAGTATTTTAACCTACACCATTTAAAATAAATTAAAAGAAAAGTAGGCTAAAGAATGAAATAAAAAAAAGTCTGATATCGACATCACATGAGTCCCTCGTACGCCTTTTATACATAGTTTTTACTTCATTTCATTAAACTTATTTCCTTGAATTATTCTAACTTAATTAACCAAACCGTTAAGGTAAATTGAAAATGACATCAAAAATTGCGAAGTTTTGAAATTAAATATCTTGCTCAGTTTTTATCATACGTGAGTCAAACTGCCTATACTTCTATTTTTTTATAATGAGTATAAAACTTTTCCAAATATAAGTATAAGAACCAGACGACCATATTAAAAGTAGTATTTAGTTATTTGACCAATATCGGTTCTTTTTTTAATTTTAAACTGCCAATACATCAATACTTTTGTCATTTAAAAAATATCAGTAATTGGAAATATATGTCTATGACAAACGATTAGAAAAGTAAAGGGGACAGGTAAGAATTTTTTAATCCGGGTAAGGATATATATAATTACAAAACAATTCTTTTGAAAACAAAATATAAACATGCGTAGTATTTTTTGCGCATTAAGCTGCAGAAAAATTATCATTAAAGAAATAAAGTAAAAATGTAGAACAAATATTTCACAAAGACCAGAAATCGAAATTCATAATAAATTTTAAATAATCATATAAATGCAACAAAGAATTTGAAAATGTTAAAAGCAAAACATTTCATTTAAGCAAAACCCCCATTTAAAAAATTAATGAAATTTAAAGAAAAATGAACAAAAAACAGAAGAGAAATTCAATCAACTTCAATGCCACTTCATCAGAGGGGAGGAACATTGAAATTAATTGAAAACTCTCTTCTACAAAAATCCTTGCTTTTCTGTATCCAGAATTTAGCCGATGAACCATTTCAATGTACTTTAATTACTATATATATATATATATACAAAAGGTAAGAAAGAACCAAATCCACAAAGAAATGAAACTCAAAAATCAGTGAAATTCGAAATTCTCCATAAATTTGGAAACAATCAACCAATAGTAATCAAACCAGACGTATATTTCTATTTCATTTTCGGATCTCCTCTGCGTCGAGGAGGAGTTCAAAATTTTCGGGCGAACTGTTTAAATGATTTAGAATGCTTCATTAGCTAATTTTGGATGACCAGAAACACAGTAGTTTTCCATAAGGAGAAGTTCCATTGAATCTGGTTTACCGCCTCTTGATAACGTTAAATCAGATTTTGATTGCATTCTTATTCTAATTTTTATATTTCCCATAATACTATCTAGAGCAGGGCTTGTTAAACGTTTTTCATTCGCGACCCCTTTTTATCTCTGAAATTTTTTTCGCGACCTCACAACCCCATAGAGAAAATTTTGTGGGACCCCATAAGCATTGCACAAGTCCGACACACGCGTGAGTGAAACTGTCAATTTTTTCACTTGTACTGTAATATACTATTGCAGTTTTAGGTCATTAACTTTAATTTCTAATTTTAGGACACAGAGCAATGTGAAAATTTTAAATAAGTAACAGACGAAATGAGCGTCACGTGCAAAGCAAGTGAAATGAACGTCTATATTATAAGAAAGAATGCGTCGAAATGTTTTCGTTTTTTAGTTGTCTGTATTATCTTATCTTTATTTATTTTCAGATACATTGTGTAAACATATTTGGAAATTGTATAATTATTACAGTAATTTAAAGAAATATCAAAACTGCTAAAATTTTTGGCGACCCCCTGTAGGTCCCGCGACACCCATGGGGATAACGACCCACAGTTTAAGAAACTCTGATCTGGAATATATTTGATTGCTAGAGTGATGGCTGAGAAAAGCTTTCCTTTTTATTAACACAATCTGTATAAAACTTTAGTTCATGTAATCTTAATAAAAACGTTGCATGATCAAAATTGTTGTGTATTATAAAATCCTACCTTATTTGATGCATTTTTGGCCCACCAGCGGCTGAGCAGTAAAGTCTCTGAACACTGGTAGTTTAGTCTGACGTTCGAATTCCAAGAACCGGCTAAACTGCATGGGGGTTTTGTGTTTCTGCTTATGTATAAGGTGTACACAACCCAGTTTCTCTTAGAAAGTCCTCAACGAAGGCATCCCCCTTTAGGCACAGAGCCCTTCAGTGCTTTGCCATAATCAAATAAACTAAACCATTGATGCATTTTTTTAAAAACGCCGTTTGGGTCTGCCGCCAATCCTTCAGAATACTCAATCATGCATGCTTTTTTAATACGGAAGGTTATGTTATAACACAATAAAGAAAATCATAATTGGATTATCTGATCAGCCATAAATCTTTGTAATGGACAGAATCTCTTACCAACATATTTTCTTCAACTTCTACGATGTTTCTCTCGACATCTATCAAACCCACCATTTATATAACCTTCCTTTAATAAGTATTTTAAGTAAAATATAATTTATTAGCTATATTAAATTTCTTTATCATCTGTGACTAAAAATAAAATCATGTCTAATTAAAAATAAAATCATAATTATGGCTGATTTTTAAATCAAAATTCTCAAAGAGAAATTTAAATGAATTGAATATAATCACTTTCATACACACTATATTTCTAGGCGCCATTTTTTTATTTTTCCTTGAAATACTGCTACTATCTAAGCGTAATTCGGGCTGAGAATCTCACGATTTTACTTTTCATTTCAAAGAGCAGAGAAAAAAATATTTTTTACTTTTCAGTGAATTTAATTAAAAAGTGTAATTTGAAAAAGATTTTTACTTCTTTGTACAAAGTACAAGAAGTATTGTCATCCGGAAAAATTTCGTGTACCATATTTTAGCGAAAATACTCATTTTGACTAGATTCATTTCAACGATTTTTTCTTGTTACATTTGTACGGTAAGAGAGAATAAAAAAAAAATTTTCCCAAAACGGATTGTAAAATGGATTTAAAATGAATTCAAAAGAGACCTTTTCGTGATGTTTATACGTACGTATGCATGCATCCCTCATAACTCAAAAAAGGAGTAGCCTCAAAGAACGTTGAAATTTTGTATTTGAGTCAGCTATGACATCTAGTTCTGCACATCACTTCCTCGTTGCTGTCGACCGCACCAAACACATATATATTCCCACTTAGTTACCCAGCCCGATGAGCTCAGTTTATATTCTTATATGTTAGTAAATTGTGCACTTTTTGCTTTAAAAGTGATTGAGTTATGTTGTTCTTAAGTTCCGGTTAAGGTTTTCCTTATCTTTAGTTAAACAGTATGCAATAGTTTTAGAATTATCAACAATTTAAGAGTTTAAATGCCGCTAAGTCTAATATGGCGGTTATTTGCTTACATTTGAAGTTCTTAGTAGTATAGTGAATTAGGTCAATTGCTGCACCAACCTCAGTGTCTTTTTGCTCAGTGGGACCAAAGTTTAATTTAAATGTTTGTGCACCGAAAATTTTGTCTTTTTGTCCGCTGGCCAAACTGTTGGTTTTGGCATAGAAATTCTAATTGTAATTGCAAAGCTTCTTTTCCTTTTAAATTTTTTATCTGTATTTAGTGTTTTATGATTTTCTGCGTTTTACAATTTTTAATGAAGATGTTTTGAGTTTGTATGTATTGTTTCCTTGCCGCAAAGTGAGAAGTGGTTGAATAAGAAATATATCTCTAATAAAATTCGAAGAAATAAAAGTTTAAATGAATGCAGTAAAATAATACGTATTATTCAATAGGCTGTAAAAGAAAATCACATGGTGTCGACATCGAATATTTTATATACGTTATATCTTTTAGTTCATATTATGTGTAAAAGTCATAAAGAAAGAGAAAAAAAAATCAGAAAGGAATTTTTTTCTCTTCTAGGTAAAAAATCCCTTTCTGATTTTTTAAATAGGGACTTTAGCGGGCACCCAAAAGGGCTTGTGTAAAGTTTGGTGTGGTTTATTGGGAGATTATCGCTAAAGATAGACGGCCTAGGTGAAATAGGGAAACATTTTATTAGATACTAGATGAACATACATTTAGACTAACATGGCAAAGTTTTATGCCTTCTGTATATTTGAAAAAGGAAAAATATATAGCATAATTCTACAAAAATATTTAATTAGATATATCATGAAATCATTGCGTTTTTATCTGAATCTATAAAATTAAAAAGTAAAAAAAATAGTGTTCTTATGAACTGCATCTGTTGCTTTTATATAGCTTAATTTGTTTTTTAATAACAAATTGATACAGTTTGAAAGATAAATAACTTACATTTTGTCGAATGGCAACAGGCTCGAAAGAAAAGTGAAACAATGCATTTAGTGTAGATGAGAGTGAATCAACACAAAATCATGTTTCGAAAGTATGAGTATTAGCTCTTTTAGGCTAGTAATAAATCATCGAGTTGTGAAAGTAGAAAAATTTTTCTTCAAATATGGCAAAAAATTATTTTCAATTCATTTTAATTTCCGTTTGTTGTAGAAATTCTACTTTATAGTCTGCTAAAATTGCAGGATTGTTAATAGTAAAGGGTTAATTATTTTATTTTTTAAATCTGGTATTACAAAGCACTAAACAATACTAAACACTTCAGCGATTTTGAAAAACACCAGAATTTGGCAAATGGCATTGAAAATTCTGAAAAACTTTCATTTAGAAGTTATCTTTTAGTATCTTCGATAACGCCATGTCTTCGATAACGCCAGGCTTGTGATAATTTGTTTGACCATTAAGTAAAGATTCGTGAGAAAAACTTTCAGCATTAAATAAAAAGTGTTTTTATCGAATTTTGAATAGACTTCTGTGAAATATCATATTGTGAAAAGTTTTTCTGATTATCAATTTATATCGTGAAAATTTTCAAGAAAATCAGATTGATAATTCTAAGTCTATAATTAATTTCAAAAGCTAAACCCAAGCAAACAGAGAAATGAAATTAAACTGAAACTGTCCAGGAAAAGGTTAAAAAGATTTTGAATTTTTTTAAAACTCAAATGGGTTAAAACATACGCCTGAAAGCAGCCATATAACTACTTCACATTTTTAAAATTATTTTTAGCCCCAAAGGAACGCTTATGATATTAAACTCGAAACGGCATTTTGCGCTGAATCATTAAAAAAGTCGTATTAGCTTTCAAACTGTTGCCACTAAATATTATCTCCCTCTTCTATATTTAAAGAAATTAAGTAATGAAGAATCTGCATAAATGTATGCATATTTCTTGCCCTGTGAAAAGAACAACGGTACTTCGAGCCATCAAATTTTGAATACTGTAGTCCTCCACCCGAATATGGACACCTGGAAGCCCGAAATTTGAGTTTCGAATTTGTTTTATTATCTATTTCATATTTTGTGAAACTTTGAAAAATTTTTGATTAACAAACGCAGCGATTCCAAAGCGATTAGTGGCAACACTGTACGGAATAAAACATTTTTATCTGCAGCGCGCGAGACTGGCTATTTAAATACTAAAGATAAGCTGTTTTTAAGCAATTTTTTACTTTGCTGTTGAATCGAATTTTATGTGGCTTACACGTCAAAAATGCGATACTTAATAAATAAAGTAAACATAAAGTGTTACGAGTAGTAATAAAAGGAAAAAAAAATGTAAAGCCATCTTAGTAAGAAAACTGAACATTGATATGATGAACTAAAAAAAAAACTGAAAAAAATCCAGAAAAATGTATGGCAACACTCAAAACTGCATCGGGAATTTTAAATGCACATTGATATGCTGCTTTAAAAAGTTTTGTAATTTGTTGTTGAATTGCATAAGGCATAAGTGCGAAGAAAATGGTCTTAATAATAAAGCTAAAAAAGCGAAAAAAAATTGGTTAGTAAGTGTGAATGTAACAGCACACTCGTAGACTGCGGCTTCAGCGAAAGCATAATAAAACATTAACAAATCCTCTTGGGCGACCGTTAGAATTTGAAACCTCTCAATTTTTTTCATTTGGTTTGCTTTTTAAATATGTACATAACATCTATTATTGGCATTTAATACAATCGAATCTTTACGATTTAAATAAAATTAAGAAAGGGGGAAAATCTGTATTATTGGTGCACAATTTTACATTGTAATAAAGTAATACTTTTTTACACATAGCAGTCAACATTCACGGAATTAGGAGAGAAATTCTGTACTGGTATTGCATAATATGAAAAATTAGAAATATCTTTTATTAATTAGGTTTGTGCTGCAATAATAATGAAATTTGCTGCCGTCAATAAAATTAAGAATTATATAGTGTTTTTAGATGACTTACTTTATTACATTGATAGGCACTGTACTGTATGATTTGAATGCGTAAATTAAAATTTTCTGCAGTATGACTTGGCAAAAGTGTCCTCTTTTGTCAGAACATGATTTTCATCAAAGTGAAAACACTAATGCTTTTTTCAAAATTTACTTTAATATTCTGAAATCCATTGCGATCTTCTAATTATTATTTGGTGCGATTGTAACTAGAATGTAGCTATAATATTCAAAACACAGCGCATTTATAATCGAGAGTTTCTTTAAAGACTGTAAACTGCGAATATGTGTAACCCTGCCTCCTTCGGTTTTACTGTTGCATGCACATGCGCAAACATGTGCTGTTTTTAAACATTTTGTGATATTGCTGTTGATTTGAACTTTATATACCGTAAGTGAGAAGAACGTTAATAATAAAAAGATAGAAAAAAGTTTTATAATGTAAGTATTAAGAGAGCTAACCACTGATATCATAAACGGAAAAAAGATTGAAGATAATAGAAAAAATGTTTACCAGTATTTAACGCAGCATCGGAAATTCTAAACATATTGTCGCGTATGTACGGGTCCGTAATAGATTGAATGTACACAGGTCCGATGATAGGTTAATAAAATTTATTTTATCAAAAGGAACACTTCAAAGTTCTGTAAATTTCCACAGAAATACTCGTACAGTATCACAAAGTACAATCAGCAGTTACACTTTAAACTACTAAGAAAGTTAAACAACTCAATGTAAAGCGCGCCTAAAGAGAAAGCTAATCCGGAAATATCTCATCTTACACTGACCTAACAGCTTAGAACAACAATGCTGAGAGCTAATGCTCTCTCCGGCCTTATATGGCTTTCGAATTGGCCCGCGAGATATTTCTAATACTTTCTTCTTCTCAAAATTACTGGGAAGCAATATGAGGGTCAAATTACGGTTACAGCTAACATAGAGGTCAATTACATTATTCAATTACAACACCTATTATGGTGACACAAGGACTGAACCAAAATGCCGCCAAACTTGGCGACAAAGTAAGTCGCCAAAACCGTTGTCAGTTTAACGATACCTCGCTAAATTACAAATTTTATTCAATGTTAAATGGACTTGCCCCTATATTATTACTTTCCCGGCATAACTTACCTCTTTCAAAATTTGTCTTATGTTCCATTACACAGAAAAATGAAAATCTGTAAAATCATCTATCAATGTACAAAATTTGTAACAATATGTTGCTATGCTGTTTTTAAATCATTTCTGATTGTTCTGTTGAATTGTATATGGGCGTAAAGGCGAAGAAAGTGGTGCTTGATAATAAAGCTAAAAAGACACACACACATACAAAAAACAAAAAAAAAAAAAAAAAAAAGAAAGAAAGAAAGAAGGGAGGGTTGGAAGGAATGCGTGACAAAGCATACTGGTAGGCTGCGAGCTCAGCGAGAGCGTAGAAAACCTTAACAAACCTTTTGGGGCGGCGGCTAAAGCCGGAACCTTACAAATTTTCTTCTTTTTCATCTTCTTCTTCTTTTTTTTTTTTTTTTTTTTTCAAATGAGTTGATTTATCACATCCCTCAGCAACATTACAATCCTTAGCATGATTTTTTTTTGTTGTTGCTCTTACATTTATACTAATTAAGTTGATGATAAATTAGAAGTTTCATGAGCATTTTAATATAAATAAAGAGAAGTTCATATTTAAAAAATAGGAAGTATTTGCTATGTGACGGTGACACTGAATAAAATAGTAACGGCTGAAAAGGCAGCTTGAAAAAAAAAATTGTTTTCATTCTTTAGCAAAATATATATATATATATATTGTTTCCGTCATTTTTATGGGAATTCTAATTAATGTGTTGATTCTATTTTCTTATTCTTTCTATTATCACTTATAATTATTATAGAATTTAAACAACATATTTGCTTTTATTTACAGAAAATGTTTCATTTCCGAATTCGAAAGCAGAGCCTTCTCTTACTACTAGGCATTGTTTGTTTTGCACATGGCAATAGTACGTTACCGGAAGTCTCTTCTTCAACAATCCCAGCAATCCCTCAAACAATTACTATAGACATCTGCAACATGGCTCTTGTATCTGTAAATGATATTAAACATGCAAGACCAGTGAAATGCACTTGCTCGTCCATCGACGTTGAATGTGGCCACCTGGACATCGAAGAACTTCCAAAATCAATATCGTTTCCAAAAAGGATCAGTTTTGCAAATTTCAAAGGGAACAAGATTTCCAATCTCAACTCTGATACTTTCTACAATGGACGAGACCTTTTAAAACTGGATTTATCTTATAATCGCATAGATTTCATCAGCGTTAGTGCCTTTAAGGCTTTAAAAAGTTTAATAACCTTAGACCTTAGCCACAACCGCATATGGAACTTGCCCGTAAACGCATTCCAAGGAATGACTCAGCTAAGAAAACTGGATTTGAGTTTCAACGATTTAATAAATGTATTTCCCGACATCCTTATTCACCTGACAGAACTTCGGGAACTTATTTTGGAATCGAACCCAATTCAAGAATTAGAGCCAAAGCAGTTTTCGGCCTTACAGAAACTAGAAGCGCTCGATCTGAAAGCCACTAAGTTGAGTGTCATACCCGACCACCTTTTTATTTTCACTCCAAAGCTGAAAATACTTTCATTAGCAGACAACCAGTTGACAGAAATCCCAACAGAAGCTCTGAAAGTGTTAGACCATCTCAAAGTACTGGATCTTAGTGGAAACAGAGTAGATATCATTAAAGCAGAAGCTTTCATGGGACTTACGGGTCTTACAACCTTGTATCTCGAAAGAATGTCAAAGTTAACAAAGATAGAAAAATACGCTTTAGGGGATATGCTTCATTTGCAAAAACTTCAATGCAGTTATAACTTTTTACTTTCTGAAATAGATGAGAGAGCATTCATCAAGAAGAGTACCAACGAGAAAGTTCCTTTAATTCAACTCTTCCTAAGACAAAACAATTTGGAAACATTATCGAAAGATCTTCTTCATTGGAATGATGCAGTGGAATTGCATTTACTGGATAATCCTATGCACTGTGACTGTAATATCCAATGGATGGTTCACCAGAAACTTAAGAATGACTTCCAAAGGCATGTGAGGTAAGTTTTGCAAAACCCAGCTTTTTCTTCAGTTTTTTATAATGTTTAATAAGTGAATTTAAGATGGTAGATACTTTATTAAAGTAAAATGCGTCTGCTCACAAGGAAGGTCTTCAGGGTGTATATTCCAACCGAAATTGGTTGCAAATGGGAAAACTACGAATTCTTTCATATAGATCATCCTACTGCGAATATCAAATCTGGAAAAAAACTCTCGGCAACCGTTAAGTAGGCATCAGTGCATATGTAAACATTCCATCCTTTCAACAAGAAACCTTATTGAGATTAGCATGGACGTTTTACTAGCACCATTATTGCATATAAGCAATATTCCATAGATGTGATAGGAAGATTGTTTATGGGTTTAATTATTGAACACAACTTACTTTACTAAATACGTTTAACTGTTGTACCATTTTTTTAAAATCTATATACGTTTCATGTAACATTATTAATGGAAGGAAGCTCCACAATTAGGTATTGCTAGAATACATTAACAGTAATATAAATACCTGTAACACTGTTCATGGTACATAATTACTTACTATTGCCACCAAACAATATAAAAAACGGAAAAAAATTCAGTATTTTGAAAAGTTTCTGTTGTACAACGATGATATTTTAGGATTCCTATATCCAAAGTCTACTACCAAAGACACAGCAAAGGATACGGATTATCAAAATTATTTATTTCTGGCCATTTCATTCAAAAGTGCTTTAGTGTTAACGAACGTCTTACATAAGTGTTGTTTTGGGTTTCCCTTATTTTTACATATATCCAAACCTTAAATCTTTACAATCTAATTAAAAGATATTCTATAATTTTATATAACTGAAAAATCTTTGTCTTGTTTAATTTCTAAAAATAGGAATTCTAGTTTTTCAATTCGCTCATACCAATACTGCAGCCTTTTGAATGGAGAGCTCACAGACAGTCTTTTGATCGAAGTCAAAGAAAAAATGTCTCAGAAACATGTACATCATGATATGCGTGGAGAACAAGTTAAATAAGCTTACAAAACGTAATCAGCTTGAAGCCTAATTCAAAAGTTTTCAATTTAAGATTCAGCAGTTCTCAGATAGTTGTGTTGAATTCGACACTCTTATGCATGTTAAATTTATGACTACTTTTTTTTATTAATTTCAATTATATCACACAAATTAACGCTTGAATGTTAATCCGAAATTATTTTATTTATTATTTAAATCAAGCATTAGTAATGTGAGCATCTGATGGAATAAAATGAAATTACAAAATCCTGCGATGAAAACGAAAATATTGTTTTAAAAGCATTATAAATCTGTTTCGAATAGTTTAGCTCTTCTTAAAGATAATTTAAATGATAAATTCAGAAGTAGCATTAAACATTATATGCTTATTGTTTTCAAACTCTTTTTATAAAAAAATTTTATGGAAAAAAATAAATACCTGAGCCATGAACAATGACTTAATAAATTATTAATTTTATAATAGATTATGAATTTTAAATACTTTATAATTTTGCATTAATTCAGTTTTAATTATTTGCCAAAAGATTTTATGAAATAACTAATAAGCAACAAATTAAGAAACTGTAGAGTATATTAGGTTACTTTTGAAAGCAGGAAAAATGAACGATCACTCACCAGGACTCGAGCGTGGATCTCTCGAATACGCATCGAGTAAGTATACTGTCTGCGTATTCAAGAGGTCCAGATTTACTACACCACGAAGGCATGCAGAAAGGAGGGAGAAAATATCTTATGTACCCCCACTTTTCAAAGGCGACTGGGGATTAGGGAACCCAGTCGCCAAATCCTGGTGGTGAAGAATCATCATTCGCCACCTTTTAGTTCGGGCGCCACTGTAAAGACATTATGTATTTTTGAAGTCGGAGATATGAAAAATGTTCAATGCCCTCGTCGGGACTCTGACCTGGACATCTCGAATGCGCGTCGAGTATGCTTCCAGTTACACCACGAAGGCATGCAGAAAGGAGGTAGAAATACCTTATAAAATTATTACTAATTTATCATATGTTATGAATTTTGAGTATTTTATAGCCCTCTATGATTTCTCCTTGAAGCAGTTCTTTTGCCTAATTTGTACAATATGCGTACATTTTGTTCTGTTCTTTTTTAAAAAATAATAAAAATATGAAATCAGTCCTCATGCATTAAAATAGACTGTTCATCAATACGATAAATTGATCATAATTTTTTGATATCTTAAAATTTGCATACATCTCTTACTCAGAAACTTCCTTTATTTTACATGGGACAGAATCATGGAAGAAAGCCAACACTAGAAGCAAAAACACCAGCCACTAAGAAAAACACTTCAGTTTGGCAATAAAAGAATTTTACAAAATGGTCCTGCTGCAAAAGAGAACATTTTTACAATATATATATATATATATTTTTTTTTCAAAAATGAGTTCATAAAATAGTTTAAAAGGCATTGATAAAAAGTATACTTTTATGATCAATTCTCAGTCCTACCAGTAGTCAGAGGATTTTATTGTACCAAACATTTTAAAAATAATAGGGATAAAATCATTGAATTTGTTTGTTATTAATAAAGTTTAAAAGGGAATTCAGATTGTCCGTAAAGAATACTGTTATTTAAATTTTGGGTAATAATGTGGAATCCTAACTACGATGCTATAATTGAAGGTGTGCCTCAAAAATTCATATCTTTAAGAAGCTCAATAAGTGTAGAGCTTAAATGTTTTCCTTCATTCCTACACTCTTTCCTAAAAACTTTGACGAAATAACAGAGGAGCAAGTGGAGTGTTCCATACATTAAGGAAAACGGGCTGGATGATGGACACATTGGACACTTTCTGCGCTAAATTCACTTTCCATGTTTAGACAATTAACTATGAATTTTTTGTAAAATTTCAATAATAAACAATTGAATATTAAACAGAACAAAATGTATGACACATTTCGTGCGCCATGCTTTATTTTATTTGATTGTTTTTCGTTATCCAATTAAATACATCACCACTCAAGAAAATATCGGATCGAAATACAGTAACATTGTTCATGAGAGATTCAAATTAAGATAATGTATTTGGATCAGCCGCCTAAGGAATTATAAATTCAGTACAGCTTAAGAACTTTAACAAATTTAAGTTTCTGAGGCTTGTGTTATTATTTATGCTATTTTAACATTGCTTTGCTTTTATAAAATTTATCAGTCTTGTATTTTTAATTCAGGTGTTCTTCACCTTCTCATTTGGAGAATATAGCGCTTAAAGACCTGAAAGATTATGAACTGACCTGCGGTCTTACTATCACCGAAGTCGTCCTGATTGCATGTTCTGCGGTGATAGCCCTGCTTATTTTGATTTTGATCGTCGCTTTCTTAGTTTGGAAAAGGAGCTACGCTGGGTACAGGAAACCATATTTTGGCTACGGCCAAAAAACTCATGATGGTGACATCGATTACAATGCTGAAGATGGAATGTAGAATTTCATTTACATCGCATCAGAGTTTTGTGTTTGAGTAAATGTTTACAGTTAGATAACACGGACTTGTCAGACTGTTTCCCCTTTACATAACTCTAAGGTTTTCCCGCATTTTTCAGGAAGCATATACTTTATTGTTATATATAATAATAATGAGGTATATCATGCTTTATTATAATCATGGAAATCGAACTTTATCATAAAGTTCAATAATATGGTCAGCAAACTACTTTTTTGTGGTATGTTTTATAGATTGTATCAAGGATTATGTCTTTTGCTTCAATCCTTATGTATTTTAGCTATATAGGTAAGTAACTGAACTTTGCCATGTAAACATAAAACATTGTAAACATTTCATTAGATGAAGTTGCTATAGATTACAGCTTTATTTTAGAATGCATATTAATGAATGTAAGTAACTAATATCATTGTTTATTACCTGGTAATGTTTCATTTGTACTTCATAATATCTAATTAATTATTCTCACTGCTATTTAATTGGTTAAATAATTATAACATGCTAAATGTAGGATTGTTTTTTTTTAAAATGTGCTTTATATTCAACACAAGCTCATGTTACTTTAGTGAAAAGATACAAGAATGTCCGTATAAGTAACTGCTTGTTGAAACTTTTCCAAGTAAAAAATTAGTATTTAATTTTTCTTTGACCTCTAAAACTGAATTAGCAGTTAATTTTATAGGGTATTAAAACTAATTAATTGTGAGAAATAATTTTCTGTAAAAATACCCAGCTTCCTATTGGAAGCAAACTTTATAAGGGTATAGGTAATCAGGATTGTAATAAAATTCTCATACATCTCTGTAAATTCTAACTTGAATTATATTAGATTTTCTTCACGTACCTTTCTAACTTTTAAATGTGTTTAGCTCCTGATCTAACGAATTATTTCCATTTTAGTTCTTTACGTGTTAATAAAACTAGATCATATAAAAACTGTGCTAAATCAAGAAAAGAGAGGGAAGACAGATCAGCTTTTCATAGTATAAAAAATTAAGCACGGGTACCAAAGTTTTAGTAGTGATCTGATATGCAAATAATATCCAGATTCCTAATAAGGGCTCAATAAATGCATGGCTGTCCCTTTTACGTTGGCCTTTCATCCGTGGTGAACAGTGCATTCCACTAACACCATCCTTACAGCAAGATAGAACAGTCTGGTCATCAGCTAGAAATGCTACTAATATTCATATATTACTAATACTTATGTGTATTGCATTTAATGCGCAATCTACATATCAGCCGGCCAATAAGTCTTTGCATGTGCAACAGTTCTGCGTGTTCTTTTGGGACGTATGTGGCTTATACTGGAAACCAAAAGGAGCAAAAATGTTTCAAAATTGAAAGTACGAGTTAGAAACTATCAGTTTTGTAAATTTTTTGTTGTAAGCTTACAAAAACGGGTCAGAAAATATGCATCATAATCGCAGAACTCATTGATAAAATCGGCTATGAACATATTTAAACTAAGATGAGTTAATTTTCGGTATTATAAATATAGTTTTGTGGGTACTTTCTTATTAGTTAAACCATTTCAGAAAGTTTTGCAACGTGAGTTTTCTAATAACGGTTGTTTATGCATACTTGTTAAGTTATTTTGAATAAAAAGTAAGAATATCATCCTATTCTGTTCAGTTTAACGGTACCATCTTTATATATATGTGTGTGTGTTGAATTTATTGAATTTATCCTTAATAAACTTTATATTCAAACCTGTATACACTGCACCAAACACATTCAAGACTTCAAATTCATATACTTCATCAATCTAAATGTATTAGGTAAATCAATATTAAACTTAAACTGTTTAATAGTTTAACAACATATATTTAAGTGTTTGTTTAATCTGTTCAAACAGTTCACGACACTAATCAAAAAGCAAAATCGTGTATTTGTCGCCCTCCCGAAATCTCCAAAATGGATTTGGATGTTTTTCTTTTTTAAAGGTCAGTAATATTTGGTGACAATTTATTACCTGGAAATTAAGATTTTCTGAGCAGTGTGCCATATAAGGAAAAGTACCAGATTTTGCAATCATAAGTTCGCAATTAGTTTTACTCTCAAATATTGTACATTGAATTTTTGTAAGCATAGTTGCAGTTAAATATATTTGATCAAATTACCTGCAAAGCTGTAAAATTTAATTTAAAAAAATATGCATGCTTGAAATATTATAATATAAAAATTTGCTGTAATCATAATCTATATTTTAAAGTACGTGTTATTAAAACGTTATAATATATTAATCTGTAATGATCATTGTAATTAATCTGTAATGATCATTATAATATATTAATCTGTAATGACCATTGCAGTAATTTGTAATGCAGTGCTCTTCACAATTCGTTTGGCTCCGAAAATATATAAATCTATTACTTTTCTTTTTGTAGAATATCTATTATTCCTCAATATTAAATAGTTAATTAATTAATTAATATGTTGAGTTCTACTTCATCTAGAAGCTTTTGTCGAAGTTTGCAGACTCTAAACTGATGGCGAGAGTTATCGCTTAGTCTGATTTAACTGTTAAATGAATAAAAATACATTATTAGTGCCACAGAGAAATTTCCGCGACTTATGTGTATTTAAATTAACATAATGGAAAATTAAATTTCAATGTAGATAACGTAGTTAGAGACTACACATAAAAAAAACCGCTCGAGCTGGCTCAGACGTTTAATGACTCATATTTTAAAATGCCAGCTACCGAAATGCCGAAGCCAAAATATAACTTAGGCAAAGCTAGCTATAGAAAGTAAATAAAACTAAACTCAGTGGCGCAACAGTCCTAGTGGGCCAAAGACAGCAGTGCCCCGAAATATGCTTTTTTGACCTTGGGCCCCGGGGTGCGTAGGCATATGCCCTGAACAAGTGGTCAGCTTGTCGCAGAAAATCCAGTGTTTAGTCCCCAAGCGATCTTGGTACTCATTTTATTGACCCAAGAGATGGAAATCAAGGGATGAAAGGCTGGGTCGACCTTGCCCAGCCCGGGGTTCGAACCCCGAACCCGTAGTGCTGCTGCTCGACGCGCTAGCCACGGCGCTATCGAGTATTCTGTAATGTAATAAATTGCTAAAATTCTGCTAGAAAGAGAAAACTATGTTTAAGTAAATAATGTGATTATATTGTATAAATATTTTTGGATTTTTTTCAGTGTTACAAAATTAACATTTTATGAAAAGCAGTTAGTTCTGTGTAATGTATCACAAGGAAGTTAAAATATTTCGAACGACTTGAACAGTACTTATACATAAGTCTTTGAAACTTTCTTAAGTTACGTATTTCATGTCTGACAAATTTATATTATGCCCAGAAGAGCATGCCAGATGAACTAAATGGTAGGAAACAAATAATTAGCAATAAAAATTGGTGTAATGTTTTCTCCTGTTAACCCATTCCTGTTGCTAATTGTTAGTTTCTTCACACATCTGTATATTCATGTCCTTTTGTAAAATCTTCTTTCCTGAATAATATATATTATTATATTATTAGTAATATCTATAATATAAAGTTTAGACATATATATTTACATATATATTTACATTTAAGGACAATATATTATTTGTGTTTTAATTATATTGATACTTTTAAGATTGTAGTAACTTACTCTGCTAGAAATAGATGAATTTTTCATAAAAATATATCCAATGAAAGAGAAATATGTATAAAAATAAACGGATCTTTCGTTGGTACATACTTAATGCTATTTTTCTTGTATAAAAAATAACAACATCTAATATTTATATTCTTAATGAACATAGCTTTCGGTTTTATTTCTTGTGAAAACATTAACATGCCTGGGTGTTCTATACCAAAAATCTAATTTATGCTTTTTTAATTACTTTATAGACGTATCCTTTAACTGTCTAAGATTTACTCTAAAATCCAGACTTTAGTAAGCAGACGGAAATGAAATACTTAATTAAACAGACAAAATACTGTTGTTACTTTGAACCGAAACTCTTTTCCTTTCCTTAGATAACCTTTGCATTGCCTATGTTATCTATAAAGTTAACATTTACATAAATATAAATATGTAACAATAAAGCATAAATTTACATATATTTCAAGATTTCACATAAGTATCCTTGCTTGATGGTATTGGTTTTAGTATAACATATATATCATATATATGTTATATATTTATACATATATATATCTTGAACATATATATATCGCTTCGATGATTGGAGTGTTTTAAATAAGACTTCCGACTATACATTTTTCATTAAAATTCAGGGTATATTATCCTTTTTAATCGCATATAAGGATAACACACTGCCAAAAAAAAAAAAAAAAAAAAAAAAAAAGATAGAGAGGGAGAATATAGCGGAACAACATCACATAAAACGTGCTGAACATAAAATGCATTTTATTGAAAGCCAACAGCAGTCTTACATTGTATAGTAACTGAATAATAAGGAAAATATTATTAATTACATAAAATAAAATATATCAAAGTACTTCAAACCAAAGATTTCTGCTTGTATTAAAATAGAATTCCTGAAAAATGAAAATTCAGGAATTTTAAAAATGTTTTACATATTTATAATTCTCAAATACTATTTAATGGTTGGGTATGATGGTTATTCGGTTGTTAGGACATTAGGATTTTTGAAAGCAGGCAAGATGAAAAATTAGCAACCGCCTTCACCGGGAATCGAACCACGGACCTCTGGAATACCGGTCCAGCATGCAGAATCACTACACCACGAAGGCATGTTAGGAAAGCTGGGAAATACCTTATATAGTACCCTTTTTAAAGGGCGACTGGGGTTTTTAGGGGACAAAATCGCTAAATCTTGGGTGTGGAGAATACTCATCCACAACCCTTTTAGTTCGGGCGCCACTGTAGAGACATTAGATACTTTTTGGAAGCAAGAGATGTGAAAAATGAGCGATCGCCTTCGCCAGAAATCGTTTCCCAGTCGTTTCAAGGTGAAAATTCAAACAGCTGTAGTAACTTCTTACTTTTAGAT